CTGCTCCGACCTCCCTCTGGTGGGCATCGCTGGTAGCTAGGGTCCTTCGATCTGTCGTATTGGTCGAGTTTGCGGGTTGAACCATTTTCGCTTGCGTGTTGGTTTAAAAGAATTGGGATGACTTAGGTTGTCGAATTCCCACAGACGGCGCCAAATGTTTATGCAAGGTTATGCACAACAGTGTGTTTCTGATTGCAGCTCGAACTCGGACTCCGGACCGATCTGAATACTTGGGCGGACCTGCACAAAAGGGTGAGCACTCCGACGATCAAGTTAGTATAGGTCGGATTCTCAGTTTAGTTCGAGGTCCGAAAATCCTCGTACCTGATCGTGGAGTGAGGTCCTTTACTTATGGGTGGTAGTCCCGCTAATCTCGCGACGGTTACACCTGGTAATCTCGGGACCGTCGGTTATACCCGGTAATCTCGGGACCGACGGTTACACCCGATAATCACGCCGCTGACAGTCGCTCACATCGGCCCCCACCAAGCTTCCCGGTAGATCGGACCTTGGCCAGGTCGCACCTCGGCCCTCATACTTAGAATCTGTCAACGCTAGTGGTAATCTCGGCGGTTCGAGCTGGGGCATGATTCATGGGTCACCAGAGCACCAATGGCTGTCCTCTACGTGTCCAGGGTATTCTTTCCCCCAAACAAATTTCATGTTGTTTTTCTTGACAAATAAAAAACTAGAAAAAGGATAATGATAATTAATATCTTGGGAGCCTTACTTCGATTATTTCATGGTTCAACCCATTAATACTTGAACCTTGTTAAAGACAAGGATACCCAGAGTATCCCACGTATTTCCATAATTGTATGATATTGTCCGCTTTGGACATAACACTTACGATTTTACTTTTGGTTTCACCCAAAATGTCTCATACCAATGGAGATGATTGTTCTATCTTATATATCTATGATCACTTCCTTCTCTGGTCAATGTGAGACTTTATTGTTTGCATTTTCCTTATAAACCCAACAAATTATCTGATGCTTAACATTTAATCTTTTTCCTTGGACAAAAAATTAAAATATATAATATATATGAATATATATATATATATATATATATATATATATATATTCTTCCTTTACTTCATGTTGATGAATTTGACATCCTTGAAGCTTTTTCTCTTTTCTCCCGACAATTGAGTGTGTGAATACTCATCACAAGTGCACTAAATTTTAGTGAAAAGAAAATCATTCTTCCAAAAAAGTTTCTTTTTTTAAGTCAGGTTGTTTGGTTTAACATCAATAATATATGAGGTGTGAATTTAAATTTTTTTATTTTTTGATGAGTTGTATTCAAGTTAGTTTTTAATTTATTGTAGTTAAAAATAATAAACGGCGAAAATCTCATATAGACTAGAACTAAGAGAGAAAAATGTTTGTTAAATAAAAAAAAATTCAATGTAAACTTGGTCAAAAACTAAATGGGAGGTGGGTAGTTCTATGGTATCATTTACTTTCCAATTAATATTTATAGGTGAGAAAAAATATGAGGTATTAATTAAATTTTTTTATTTCTGATTTAAGAAAAGTATGAGCATATCTTGACACTGAAATCATTAATCTTTGATGATGTGGAAATTACCTTTGTCAAATCAATGGATGCAGTCATTTGGAGAATTAGAAAATAGAGTAAAAACATACTTGAAAAAAAAAGGAATTGGATTTTGAGATCTTGACCAAGTTGAAGAAAAGTTCTGATTGTCTAAATCCAATGGCCACCAGACAAACCCATGGGGGGCTCCTATTGGTCCACCATCTCCAACTTTATCCAACCCTCTCTCCCTTTTGCCCTTTTGGGGCCCATATTAATTAATTGTTTTCAAAATTAGTGAGCTTCTTAAAATTGACAGCTTGGCAACTCTAAATGGATAATGCTTTAAACATGTCCCAAACTTCAAATAAATATTTGGCAATATAAAGCTTTTCAATAATACCTCAAAATCTCACTTTCAAACTTTTTTTAAGAAAATTATTTTTCTTCTTTTTTACTTGGCGACTCAATTGAGGTGGTTTGGAATTATTGTTTTGGTTTAGTTTAACTTTTTACTTTAAAGATTCGTGACTATATGTGTGATTTTGTGACCAAGCGAGACAACTTTTAGGATGTTTTTCTAGAAGGTGAACGAAGGAGGAAGGAATTGGACGATCACCCACGGATTCATCTCAAATATCTTTTTAAAAAATTTTCTCCAATTTATCCATCTTTAAATTTGAAAATGCACAGATTATATATATAAAAAGTTAAAATGTAAAATATTGTTCCTCCCTGTGAAAATTTATGGCTCCACTTTTTGTTATTTTCTATTTTTTGTCTTGAGTGCAACAATTACAAGGTGGAAAATCTAACCATCTATCTAACCATCTACCTTTGGGATGATTGGTGTTGTTTTTCATGAATTTTTTTTAAGCATTACAAATAAAATATCCTATGATCAGGTCAATTTAGATATTTTTCTACTGTTGGATTTTAATGTTGGGTTTAAATATTTTAGATTAAATCCGGACATGATTTTGAAGTCATATTTTTTTAGTACAACATGTTGGAGAGGAAATTCGAACTCACGACTGGTTAGTCGGAAATAGATGCTTTAATAAGTTGAGCTATGCCCATGTTGGTATTTTATAACGAATTTTAGATCTTTTGTTGAATAGATATTGAGTCATTTATTAGTTAACTTTTAGTAAAGTTTCTAATTTTTGTCTTTAATCTTACCACTAAATTATAAAATTTTTATAACCTAGTTTATTGAAATTAAAATTTTAAGCTTCAACTTAATTCAATTCAATCAACTTAATTTTTTTGTATAAAATTATGTGGTGGGGGATTGAGTGTGTTGGAATTGGATTAAAAGTGAATTTTTAAAAATAACAAAAAGCGAATATTAGCATCTCCCATGAAGAATATTCCATTAATGAAATAAAATAAAAGGAGTTTGTGTATAGCACCAATAGTGAAATAAATATAAATCTACATTTTTTTCCGAGAAAAAATAAATCTAGAAGCTTAATTGTTCTTTTATAATATTTTAGATAAATAAGTTTACTTGTTATTTAAAATTAAAATCAATACAACTTAAATAAAATTGTTTATTCAACAGCAAGAATTTTCGCGTATTTTCGTTCAGATTGTTTACGAGCATTGCATTATTTTTACTACAATGCTAGTAACAAGTCTCTTATAAGAATTATTAAAAAAAAAAAAAAGAAAAAAAGAAGTCTCTTATAAGAAACCGTTTTAAAGGAACACTAGAATATTATAAAAAATAAATTATTTCTTGAACAACAATATTCAAAATGTTATATTAAAAAAACAAATTCAAAAGTTTAAATTATAAGTTTAGTTTCGAAACTTTTAGGTTTCGTGTCTAATAGGTTCTTCAACTTTAGCAAGTGTCTAATAAGTCCTTCAGCTTATAATTTTGTGTTTAATTGATTTTTGAATTTTAAAAAGTGTCTAATAAATCATTAAACTTTCAATTTTTTGTTTAATGTTGTTGATTTTGAAAAATTCAAATATATAAGAGATGTTAGAAACAAAATTGAAATTTTAGAGATTTATTAGATATTTTAAAATTTATAGACGTGTTAGACACTTTTTGAAGTTGAAGAACTTATTATATAAAAATCCAATACAAAAATTGTAATTTAAACCTTCAAAAAATCATCTCAATACTACAATAGTGGATAATACATCTTTTAGACTAACAGATAAAAGCCAAAAATATTTGGAGAGGACACTTTTTTTTTTTTTTAAATGGAAAGGGATAGAGGATTTGGTATGCATGCGTCAATTAGGTTGAAACTCAATCAGGAAAAGTTAAATGGATAGCTCTATTTTATAAAATATTTTTTATTGAGATATTATATTATATAGGGGCGGATCCAAAATTTGATGTCAGCCCAGATACAAATACATATAAATATAATACAAAATATCAATGTTAAGTGTGAATTTAGCAATGTGTATGTATCAATTTGTACATTGGATAATTGTTGTAATTTTTATCTCTCGAGACCAAGGACAGTACAAACTTTCACGGTGGGAAGAATGCCAATGGTCCATCTATGTTAAACAACATATACTATTTACTTATTTAGAGGATACTGATTCCTAGTAGATCCGCTCTTGATTACGTAAGTAATGACAAATATGATATTTTAAAAATATATATAGTACTTACTTTTAAAGTAATTATTAACCATTCATAAATTTATTGATAATAAATCAATTTATTTTATTTTACGTAACAATCATTAATTTATATATTCTTTTTGAAAAGGAAATCATTGATTTATGTAAAACAAAGAATAACCTTTATATTTATTAACTATAATAATAACAATCATTGATTTACCCTTATTTTAATTTTTAATATATTTACAATTATTTTTAAAATTATTATTATTATTTTGAAACCATTTTTACTATTGTAATATTTTTTTGTTAAAACTATACTCATATTTTATTACTTAAAAAAATGTTAGAAATCATCGTCTTGAAAAAAGTCAATTTCATTTAATCCACATTAAAAATAATTTTTCTCGAGAGATTATTTAAATTTTAATATTTAATTAACGTGGATGGGCTAATTTAATTTTGAAAGGATCTTTTTGTCTCTTAGAGACGTGAATTAATGAAATTCTCATTTGACATTTGACAACGAAATGTTATTGTCATACTAGCAAAAGCATTATAAAATTGGAATAAAGTTTTGCTTAGCACCTTAATCAAAGCTTAAGCAAGTTAAAAAAATTATGATACTTTATTTTATTATATTATATCATTTTTTTTTGTAAGAAAAAAAAAAGTCTTAAATGTAGGTCTGGCAATTTCAGTTCGTGAGCAGCATTTTGCGCGTGCTCGTGAACATGAGATGACTCCCATTTCCACTCCTAAACTTTTCCAACCACTTTTTTTTAATCAATTTCTGACCACCGAACCTTAGCTGTCAAATAGTTTTTTTTGAAGTGTAGCAACAAATTTAGCATAATTCAAATTATCAATTTAAATCTTTTTTAAGTTTGGATTTCAATTTAATCTATAGGATCCTAAAATTTCAATTTCATTCTAATAGTTTAGATATAGTTTTAATTTATTTTTTACACTTTAAAATTTTTAATATTATTGGGAGAGTTGAGGACAACGGTACCCTAAGTAACATCTATATTATTGGATCACTCAATTTTCTAGCCAATATGAGACTTTACTTTGTTAGTATGGATGAAACCCTCACGGATTTGTTTTTGGTTTCACCCAAAAAGCGTCACACTAATATAATTATCCTCATTTATATATCATACATCACTACCTCACCTAGCCAACGTGAAACCTTGTTTGCATTCCATTTACAAACCCAATAGGGAGGTAAGTCCAAGTGCAACTAGTGGCCCTCCCCTGCTAGGACATATGTATTATGGCTTCAACTTGGACCTACGGAAGAAGAGGATGAAAGGTCTATGTCTATTGAAGCTGAGGTTAGCCTGAATCGGTGAGTCTGTGATTGGTAGAAAATTCACTAACATTTGACAGAATGACGATTCTATCATTGAAAGATCTTCTAATTGCCATGAGAAAATCTATTAAATAACATATACGACCGTTGTTATGACAAAGACACAATTCCTAATGCTCATTTTGTAGGAACAACAGAGTCCTACATTCTCTAAGATATGCAACGAAATCCTATATTCTCAAAAGTATACAATCTCTTGCATTGTAGGTAATTTAGACACGAGAACACATCTTGGATTAAGTTCTAATGAAGAATCACACCACTGCAGATTTTATTTGCAGATAGCTCGATAGCCCATGTCATGTCAGATTCCCCTCCAAATTACCTAACGTATCACTTATCATGCATCAACAAATGGCCTCTATAATTTAGTAAAATTTCACCGATTGTCAAACTTGTGATGGCGTGATTCATATCTTTATTAATTAATTGTATCAAGATTTATGATGGGAGTACAAAATTATTAGGATGAGAATAAACTATTTACAATATTGTAGAATAAAATACAAAGCTATCCATTCAAAAATTTATTTCCTTTGTTTAATCTTTTGTGATGCAACGCAGCAGCTTCCTCCATTTTCCTGATTATTCTATCCATTTCCAATGGGCGTTTCTGGTCTATAAAAATCCACCACCATTTCTTCCCTAAACCTCTCCTCTCCGATTCCTCTTTCAATTTCCCTCTCTGTTCTTTTCTCTGTCTTTCCCACGTTTTCCCGAGAAAATTTTCAGGTGTTTTAATGCTTCCATTCTGTTTCTTTGATTCTTCGGATTCATGTCTCCAGTAGTCAGTGAGGTTCTTCTCTCTGGTTTCATCATAAACTCCGCTCTCCGCCGCCGTACCCATCTCGTCCAATCCTTCTCCGTCGTTTTCCTCTACTGGTTCTACGTTTTCTCATGAACTAGCCCGGCCCCCAGATCCCAATTTCTCATCTCCAGATCTTTCGATTCATCGCTGAAATCATCATCTGGGTTCCTCAATTCGTGCCATTTCGAGCAAAACCCATATCGAATTTCACCCCCTTCTTCACAAAAAAAATATTGCTCTGTTTCTCTCTGGCTGAGGCACGGCCGGTTTCCATGGCTTCTCCGGTAGGAAGTTCATTGGGATCTCCGAGCTCTGACGAAGATCTGCGGCAAATCGTGGATCAGAGGAAGAGGAAGAGAATGATATCGAATCGCGAATCGGCCCGCCGGTCGAGGATGCGGAAGCAGAAACAGCTGGACGATCTGACGGTTCAGGTGGCCCAAATCAGATCGGAGAATGAGCAAATCCCCGTCAACATCAATTTCACCACCCAGCTTTACCGGAATCTGGAGGCGGAGAACTCGGTTCTCCGGGCCCAGATGGCGGAGCTCCGCCACAGATTGGACTCGCTAAACGAAATCACGAGCTTCATAAACTCCAGCACCAGAAATCTGTTTGAAACTGAACAAGATCATGATGAAATTTGTGGCATTGATGGGTTTGTTGATTCGTGGGGATTCCCCTTTCTCAACCAGCCAATCATGGCGGCTGGTGACATGTTTATGTGCTGAAAGGGAGAGCAAACCAAAACCATGGTGGGGTTTCATCATATTATTATTATTATTGGTACTTGGTCTTTTGTGTAATGTGGATATCTACTCTTTTGAAATGTAATCAATGTACCTTTAATGATGATTAAGAAAAAAAGTATTTGAAAGATGGAGTGCCCATCCCTTCTCCCTTTACCCATTTGCTCAATTGAAAATTTTTAATTGATTCAGAGAAAATTAAGATCAAAATTGAGAGATTGCAACCATCTATCAGATATGAAGAATGGATAGATGATTGAATTGTGGTCAGTGGTAAAATGTAACCTGAATTTAAAAGTGGTGTGACCATGTTAAAAAAGACAATGTTGGATAAAAATAGGATATTATAAATAAGAGCTATTAATTTGATTAATAATTAGTAAGAATTTATTTTATTACCCTATAAAATAAAATAATATATGACAACTCGAATATAACTTAAGCGTGAAGACATCATTTATCCTTTGGAACAAATTATATATGAGGTGAAATTATAATATTTTAAAAAAGTTACTATTTTCTTTCTTTAAAAGATTTCTTTTTGAAAAGATAATTTCCCACTTTTAATTCTCAATGGTCCATTTTGTACCAAGAGGGAGAGACCTAAAAAAATGAGCATTATTGGAGGGAGAGAGGGAAGAAAAAGATAACATTGTTACTTGGTCATAATTGGTTGGCAAGGGATGCTCTTGGCTTGGATTTTTCATGGAAATATATATATTAAAACTTGAAAATTGTGTTTGTTTCCTGAGAAAATGAAAGGAATTCTGCCTGTACAAGTATTAGGTAAAGGAACAAACTGGAATAATTGGGCATGCCTAGTGGAGGAACAATAAAACAAAATCTGATTCCAATTATCAATTGTTTTTTTGACATTATTGAGAGGATGATGCAAAACCAAATTCTGATCATGGTCCTTTTCCTTGCCACTCATTTTTTTTCTCTCTCATTACAATAATGAACAAAACTTTATATTAAAAAAATTAGCGGTACTGTCTACTTGAGTATATGATTTACTTTTAAATTATGTTTAAAATGTCTCGTATGGATGGCATTGTTGAAAAAGTTTAGCAACATTGTCTATTTTAGGTATGTCTAAAATGTCCGAGGTACGTAGATGAAATCGTGGTTTTACTTAAATATTAAAAAATCTTCCCTATCTCTTAATCCATATGAGACATTGGGAATAGATTTACACGATGACCTCCTACCTTACCAATTAATTTTTATGTGTTTCTCGACATCTAATGTTATACGATCAAATTAAATCAATATATCTCAAAAGTATATCAATATTTTTGACGTACCTTTCTATTACAATTTTAAAGATGAGTAAAAAGTGATTTTAATTGAATTGAAAACACCTTTTGAAATTTCCGAAAAACAAAAAATAGTTTTTTCAAAAGACATCCCAAATTCATAATTGGGATTTTTAGTGAAATCAAAAACACTTTTATCATCCCTAAAAATAATCGACACTCATATATTGGATCACGTAACATGAAAATAATTTTTAAATTCAAAATCAAACTTAAACATTACGTGATAAAGTATTTGTTGAGTGCACTCTAATGACTGATCTTGAAGCATTTTTAAAGTATTAAAAAAGTAATAACAAACCTTTAGATTAGAGAAAATTAATAACAAAAATTGCTAAAAGCTTTTTGTTCAGCAACATCTTCCTTAAATAAAATTATGGGAAAAAGTAGTTGAAGGATTAAATATATAGTAATGTCAAACAATAGTGTTAAAATTAATATAGAAGAGGGATATTTAATTTTGCGTAGATCTGAATGTCAAACATTAATACTAAAAATAATGATATTATTGAATAACAGAGAGTGAGGGCCGGCTACCTGTCTCTCTCAAGTGATATTATTATTATTAACATCAAGTGTGATTAATTTTATAAAATTACAACATTGAAAAATTAATTTTATATTTTAACTTTCCACAAAGAGTCACCTCCTTTCCTACCTTTTTTTTTTTTTTTGGTAATATTAAAAATTCAGGTTTTGCATGCTTAGGTCAGAAGTAAACAAACCTTTCACTCTCATGCTGTATTTGTATCATCTTTCTAGTTTTGTATTGTTCAACATATTCAAAATTGATATCCAAATGTGTGTGTATATATATATTAAAATTGGAACTGCTTTTTGTTTGGAGTATTTTTTTAAGTTAAAAATATGTGTTGGTAAAAATTTGAACCTTTAATATTTTAATTAAAAATATATATCTTAACCATTATGTCATGTCTTAATCAATTCAATGACAATAAAAAGATAGGGGATGATTTAATTGAATGTATAGTAATTTATTATTTTTCCTTTCAATTTTGTTTAATTCTCCCTCTTTTTTATTTGATCATGACTCGCGCCCAAAGTTTAGAGGGATGTTTATATTTACACTAAAGAAATGAAAAATGGCAAAAATTTTCATAAATTCAATATATGGCCAAACCGAATTTTAGGTAGATTCTATCATGTTTCTTTTTCCTTTTTCGCCCTCCATTTGCATACAAATATGAAAAACAAATGTTCCTAAATTTTCAATTTTCAAAATTTAAAGAGAAACTATATTTCTAATAATACAACTAACATTTTCCAAACTTAGGTATAAAAAAAACATTTTCAAACGTAGACATGATTTTTTTTTCTCTGTTTTTCTATTTTTGGTACATTTGTCAATCCTAGATTTGATTTGGAATTCGTTTTAATTTAAGCTTTTTCTCAATTTGTTTTTTGAATATTGAATTTGCACATTATTACATGTGATTTTTTTCAACCTTATATATGATTTTAGATCGTTTTAATTTAAGATTTGTTTGTTAAATTTTGAATTTAGTATGTAACATGTAATTGTAAATTTTTTTTTTATTTTAGTTTAGTACACTAATTTTTTTTTATTTCCTACTTTAAAGTTCCAATTTATGAAAAATATTTTACAATATATAATGTAATTAATCAATCCTTTAATCGGATTATCTTATCTTTTAGCATACACTCTATTGTTAGGTTTAATCACATCAAACGGTTCACAAAACTTAAAAATCGGACCAAGCCCAGTTTAAAATATGAATGTTGATGGGCTGGGCGGCCCATTATCTTTGATTCTCAAAATATTAATACTCGTAAAAATAGTCGGAAAAAAATTGTAAACTTCACCCCTCGAGGATATATCCATTATCCATTCCAATCCATTCCACAAGTTACCTAAGTAAAAAGTTTAAATTTTAAATCATGAAATGGAAATGAAGGTTAAAATTGAGTTAGTATGGGTAAAAATAGAATTTTGGAGTCCTGTTATTTTATCCCCGAGTAGGCTACGCCTAGTCATCATTGCCGTCATAAACAAATCTCACACGTGTCCCTTGCTCGTTGACGGCCACGTGGCGTTGTACGTGTCAAAATGAAGGCCTTCGTTTAGAACGTGTATTCCCCTAATTCCACACACGAATTTCCTCAAATATTATCCGCTAACAATTTCCCTCTATATTTATTCAACTAATTTCCTTTCAATTTTCACTTTCGGCAAAAGGGAAAAGAAAATGGCACATTACCAGAATCCGTACGGCGTGCAATCCGGAACCGACGAATACGGCAACCCGATTCGGCAGACCGACGAATACGGGAACGTGATCCCGGAGTCGGGCCAGTTCGTGGACCCGCTCCGCCGGACCGGCGAATTGCGCGACACCGATCCGTACGGCGTGGGAGACCCGGCCGGGCGAACCGCTGGGACCGGTGGACAGACGCAGCAGCATAGGGGGGGCGATCAGGGACAGGGAATGTTTCATCATGATAGCCAAAGGGCGGCGACGACGGGGTACACGGCGGCGGAGCAGGGCGGGGGTCGTGAGAAGAAGGGGATGATGGAGAAGATCAAGGAGAAGCTGCCGGGAGCGCACCACTGAGGCCATTTCGCTTTTCTTTTAATTATATAAATAATATGTGTGAGCTGAAGAATAAGCGAAAGGTGGTCGGTGTGCGTGTACCAGTCTGCATACAGTAATTTTTTGTTTCCTAGTTGGAGTACTAATGAATTTTCACTGTTGGTTACTTGTTTTTTATAATTTTGTTTTACTTTTTATTCCATTTTTGTGCTTAATTGTCAAATATTCAATAGTTTAACTTTAAGAAATCAAAGATTTTTTCCCATTTGTATAACCAACTTGAGCCTAAGCAGGCACCTATTTTGAATTCTCACAGATAAATCTATACCTTTTTTATTACTGTAATTTTTTTGGGACTATTATTTTGAATTCTCACACATGCCGCTTTTATTATTATTATATCTTTCATTTTAATAGTGTGTTTAAATTAAGAATATATTTCTTAATCAATTTGTTCATGAAAGACCTGCCATTCTTTTTTCTCTTTCTAGTAGAGGTATAGAAGATTAATTTGGTCTGTTTACACTGTTTTATTATTTATTTCTTCATGAAAACAATTTTTTTTCCGTTTTTATAATATATATTTTTTTTTCTTTTTAAATGTCTTGTTTATCCAGGTTTTGAAATATTAATTGATGAAATATTAATTGATGGAATATTAATGGAGGGAAATATCTGAAGAAATGTGTTAATTATTGAAATTAATATAAATTATTTAAATTAGTAAACCAGAGTTCAATAAGAAAATGCGGTAATTATGGAAATTAATATAAATTATTTAAATCAGTAAAGGAGAGTTGAATGAGTTAATTATGAAAATTAATATAAATTATTTAAATTAATTATAGAAATTAATATAAATTATCGTATAATTGGGTTAGTCATCATATCTTAAGTTATAATTGATATTTTTAATAGTAATATTTAAATTGAAATATCAATGCCAATTAATTGATATTTTTAATCATCATAGTAATATTTATTTAAATTGAAATACCAATGCCAATAAAAATTTTATTATAAAAACTGATGAAGATCATTTTTAATCATTATAGTAATATTTAAATTGAAATACCAATACCAATAAAAATAATTGATATTTTTAATCATCATAGTAATATTTAAATTGAAATACCAATGCCAATAAAAATTTTACTTTTATAAATAACTGATGAAAATTAGAGTTTAATCATGTGGTTTAATCTATTAATTAATTAGTAAATGATGGTTGAATGTGTTAGTAATTGGGTTAAGTCATTATAATTTTAATTGGGTTAGTCATTATGGGTTAGTCATCATATCTTAGGTTATAATTGATAATTTTTAATCATCATATCTAAACATATAAGTAATATTTAAATTGAAATACCAATGTCAATAAAAATTTTATTTTTATAAATAACCGATGAAAATTAGAGTTTAATCATGTGGTAAAATTTTACTTTTATAAATAACGGATGAAAATTAGAGTTTAACCATGTGGTTTAATCATGTTATAAGTTGAGTTATAATAAAAAATATATTTAAAATAAGATTTAAAATGTCGATATTATTTTTATAAATAACTGATGAAAATTAGAGTTTAATCATATGTTTTAATCATGTTATAAGTTGAATTATAATAAAAAATATATTTAAAGTAAGATTTAAAATGTCGGAAGAAAATATTGAGCTCCCAATTTTACAACGTACGTATTGATGTTGGCAAAAATTTTGTAAATATTTGTGGAAATCACGAACAATATAAACAGTTTAGGTAATAAATAAATGAAATTTTAAATAAAGCTTAACTAAACTAAAATTCAACCATATCAATCATGAAATAATTTTAGTATATAAATAGTTTAGGTAATAAATAAATGAAATTTTAAATAAAGCTTAACTAAACTAAAATTCAACCATATCAATCATGAAATAATTTTAGTATATAAATAGTTTAGTTAATAAATAAATGAAATTTTAAATAAAGCTAACTAAACTAAAATTCAACCATTTCAATCGAAATCATTTCATTATAAATATGAGTAGAAATATTTGAATATCTAGTAATTTAAAAACGAACTATACAAATTTAAAAGAATTTTTTTAAATTATTAACTTTAAAATAACAAATAATGCAAAAATTAAAATTGAGAAATAAGAAATATAAAATAATAGAAATGTTGAGGGAGATAGGGAAGAGTTAATTGAAACTAATCCCATGTAAGTCGTGAAGGATGAGAAGTAGAAATTCAAATTATGGTCGAAAAATATATAAATTAAAAAATGTAAATTTCAAAATGGATAGGTAGTGAATTTCTTCTTTCTACATTTCAAGGGAGTCCTAAGAAGACATGATCCCAAACAATCAAACAAATTTTCTACAAATTTAATTAGATTATATCCTATATTTAACCTTTTGCTAAATATAAATCATTGCTAAAAATAAGCCACGCTATCCAACCCTCTACCCCAAATACACGCTATTCAAACCCAGCCTACACAATACCCCGACATAAAAACCCCAAGCTTAACAAATCTAGGCTACTGATTTCGAAGGACCAACGCCCCTTTAGAGGGTTTCTCTGTGTTTTGTTCAGAAGCTGTTCTAAGAAGTAAGTAGCATGAATCTAAATATAATATAGACCTCTCTTACTCTTGTGGAGGCAGAAAGAAGGGTCCTTATTTGCTGGTTTTTGTGGTGGCCGACGGTGGTCGGATGTCGAAAATCTTTTGTTGGATGTTGATAGTGTTGTTGTGACTAAACCAAAAGGAACATTGTTATGTATGGTCCGTGGCTTCGTCATCTGGACGTTTTGAAGAGTTATCAGACATTTGGATGTTTTGAAGAGTTATCAAACACATCATTGTTCGCATTACATGCTATCTCTTGTTATGACTCTTTATCTCATTGCATCCTGGTTTAGAAACTTTCATGGTCCAATGCAAGTAAGATGGAGCAAAAGATGGACGACGACAGAGGTGTAGCGGTGATAAGCTCAAATATTGTTTTGGAATTTAAGGAGGTTATCGGCCTTAATTGTATTGATATCATTGACCAACATGATTTGGAAAATTTACCTAATCCTTCCTTATTTGTCATGGTGTCGAATAAGACAACATTGGCAATTATTTCCATAGGAGTGCGATAATTGACAAAATACCTTTATTAATTGAGGAGTCTCTCCAGACATCATTGAATATGGTTGATGATGTTGTGATTTTGGAGAAAATGTTTAGCGGGCTAAAATTTATTTATATACTAATTCTTTGAGCAGTCAAACTATTTTATTGGCCAAATGTGCCATTTTTAATTGTTTATCTGTCATTTGGGATGCGGATCACCGCTCTTTTGATGTAACATTTAGTCTTTTTATGCTCCAGTATTTTTTGGTTTCAAAGAAAAAAAAATTAATTACTACTAACTTTTAGGTGAGAAAGTAAATTAAAAAAAAATCTTACCTGAATCATTTTAATTTTTTTTTTCAATATTCAAATTGAGTTGGGTGAGACGAAAACGAGATTCATAAATTGAATTCTCTCAGATATATTGTCGTAATAAGAAAAATAAATCAATACGTTGTTTATTAAGAAAAATAAAATAAAATAAATAAATATATTGTTTTTTGAAGAAAAATAAATTAAATAAATAAAAAGAAGGGAAAGAGAGGAAAATAACCCAACATTTTAAAAAAATAAATAAATCTCAATCTATTTTAGAGTGATACTCAAATTTAGAAAAAAAAATACATTTTGTCTCTAAGATGGGAAGGATGTGTCTATTTGGTTCTTGAAATTTCAAAATCAACACCTTTAGTCACTGAAGTTTGAAATAAGTATCTATTTAGTCATTGAAATTATAAAATTGACTTTTTTGATCCCTAAAATTTAAGACCTACCTTAAGAATTAATAATTCCTATGTATTTCTCGACACCAAATATTATAGGGTCGGTTGTCCAGAAAAAAAAAGTTTGAAAAATGGTTCTAAATAGTCTTTAAACTTACTTTGATCATTACTTGACTAACCTTGAGATGATGTGGCGGTTAAATGGATGATTGGGTAAAAATATATTAATTTAATATTATAGTCGTGGTTTCTATTTTGCTTTGTCTTCCGCTCTCATTCTCCCCCATCCTCGGTGAAAGTTGCTGCCACACCCGGTCGTTCCTATCCTTGTCATGGGAACCGCTTTAAGAATGGAGAGAACTTTATCGTCAATTTCTTTTTCTTCAAGAGAGAAAAATGGGATTTTTTTTCCGATGGTTGGGTTATTTCTTCTGTGGGTTTTTTTCGTCATCTACAGATGCCGGAAAGGGATTGATTCCGGTGACATCAAATCCATGGTTTCCAACTTCTCCTTTGTTGCATTATCGATTTGGGGTTATAGCGGCGTTGATTTTCTAAGTAAGTTGGCTATTTTGATCATCCATGGTGTACCATTAAAACCTTCCTCAAAACTTGGAGCTCCCCGTAAAATTTCCTCTGTTTCTTCCAATTTCACGATTACCCATCAGAGTGTACCCACAGAAGATTCCAATTTCACCCAATTCATCTCCTACAAACCCCAAAATTACTTGAAGTCTGTCTTTATCGAACTTGGTTCCGCCGCACAAAATTCCATTAAATCTCGATGGAGTGAAGATGAAGCGGTGGATGATTTTGATGGGGTCTAGTTCTGATTGGTTTTCAGCTGAATTTGAGCGGAAATTTACCTCCAATTTACTCAGTTACTCTATGGATATGGCCCCGACGACGAGCCTTGCCGAGACCCCAAGACGGCGAAGATGACCATCACCGACATGGAAGGTCTGAAAAGGGTAAAGCTTTCCAGGGGGAAGAAGAGAGGAAGACAAAGCAGAGTAGAAACCACGATTATAATATTAAATTAATATATTTTTACCAAATCATCCCTTTAACCGTCACAACATCTCATTAGTCAACTTTAAATTTAAAGACTATTTAAAATTATTTTTTAAATTTTAGTGATATGTCAATATTATAATTTTAGAGATTAAATCGAAACAGCCAAAAATGTATTTTTCTCTAAATTTAAGAAGTATTTTATTTTCAAATTTAAAAATATCTTATTTTTTTAAAAAAAGCTACCTCGATAAGTGGTTATTATGGTGTAGAAATAGAAAAAGATTATCTTTCGTTCTCGCTTCATTTTTCATTCTATTTTCACTTTTGCTCTTCGTCTCTCCCTACTTCTTTGCTCTCCCCTTTTTCACTGGATTCCCACTCTCTCGCTTCCTACTCTCTCACTTTTTCTCGCGCACTCTTTTTCTTACTTACCCTCTAATTCTCGCTCATCTTATTGAGGAAAAATATAGGTAATAAATTTTCTCTCTCATTAATTAAGAGTGGATCTAAGAATGAGATGGAAGACATCATTGATCATTGGGTAGAATTTAGACTACCGCTAATCACCTACGGAGGAGGAATTTTGCGTGAAAGAATATCTTTTTACAAAAAATTGATTTGGAAAAATCCAAAGAGAGAAAGGGAGGGAGAGATCTATTTCCTGAATTATTCTAAATGAACTTGTCAGTTTTACAATTGATCCAATCTTCGATTTCTAGTCCGTATAACTTAATTTTAAAAATAAAAGATTCTTTTAGTCGTTGAAGAACGAATCACCTTATAACATTATTTATTTTAATTTTATCTAAACTTGTTTGAGCTAAATTACTACCTACCACATATCGATGTGAGAGATTATTTTCTCCATGATTATTAGAAGAGTCAAATGAACCTTTCAGATTGGCAGCGAAAGCAGAGCTAAACAACATATCACCATCTAGTCAACCTTCATAAGATATAAACCGACCTTTAAGAACACTCGTAGGCGCAAAAAGACAATGAGAATGTTTTTCGACAAGGTATCACGTTTTCCAAACAGTTCGAGAATCGTTAGCGTGCTGTTGAAAACTTATCGAGAATTTACTTCTATAAATAGAGATCCTCACTCTTCACTCAAAGTATGCAGAATATTGTCTCTTTCGAATATGGATCATATTGTATACTGACTATTCTATTTTACAAGTAATTGGAATATCAGTGTATCGACTACGAGCTTTGTGAATCCGAACTTGAACATTTCGTAATCAAACACAACTAGTTAAACTTTTAGTGGTGAGTTCATCCGATTTCCATTTTATATATCAAACAAACTTTCTTTCAGAAGTATAATCTCAAAACACATCACGGCCTAGCCTTCTAACATCCAATAAAATCAGTCCACTTGTCAAAGTGAGCCATCCCCAACATCGCACCAAAAGAAAAACCCTAATCTCCATTTGCCGACATAAACCCTCACACCTGTCCCCGCCATCACCCTCCACGTGGCATCCAAATCCACGTGTCAAATTAACGCCACGAGTTTCTCTAAGCTTGATCTTCTTTCGCTCTCTATTTAATCCACACTGTCTCCAACCTCCAACCTCACTAAGATTTCGAAACTTATCCATCTGTAGTTTTCTTGACTTCATCTCTGGGGTTTTTTTTTTTTTGGGTGTTTCAAAAAATGGCACATTACCAGAACCAGTACGGTGCACAATCTGGAACCGATCAGTACGGCAACCCGATTCGCCGGACTGATGAGTACGGCAACGTGATCTCCGACACGGGAGTGGGACAGTACGGCGACCCACTTCACCGGACTGATGAATTTCGCCAGACTGATCAGTATGGCAACCCGGTTCGCCGGACCGACGAGTTTGGTAACCCGATAGGCACCGGTGGGGCCACGTATGAGGCTGGTGGATATGGTGGCACCGGTTACGGCGGAGGACACCACCAACATAAGGAGCATCAAGGGGTACTTCGTCGATCTGGAAGCTCCAGTTCCAGCTCGGTAAGCCCGTCTTTATTTCTCCTTTCTCTTACTAATATTTACAGGTTTCCATCGAGGAATAAAAATAGAAATGAAAAGTGCAATGCAATGATGCATTATTTGATTTGATTTGGTTGTGGGTGGTTTGAAAAATTGCAGTCGGAAGATGATGGGCATGGAGGGAGGAGGAAGAAGGGGCTGAAAGAGAAAATAAAGGAGAAGCTGCCGGGTCATCACGACCCTCAGCAGCAGTCGCACGCAGCGTCAACCACCACACCCGGCGGTTACGGGTCGGCGGAGTACGGCAGCGGTGGGTATCAGGAGAAGAAGGGAATAATGGAGAAGATCAAGGAGAAGCTGCCAGGAGGACATCACTGAGCTGGCTGGCCTCCCATGTTTATATATATTATGTTTATGTAATGTATTAATAAAGTTTTAGCTTTCTGATCTTCGTATATGGCAGCTTACATAGAGCTCAGCTGCTGTGACTAAATAATAAGGGATGTTATGGCTGTATGGCCTGGGTGTGTGTATTAAGTAATTTATGGATTGTGGTTTTGACTTTCTTTTAGTAATTTATGTTATTACGAGCTTTATGGCAACTATGTCCCATCTTCCATATATGCCTGTCAACATTTAGTTAAGACTGCATTTGCATCTAATCTCCTTATGGAATTAAATTAGGCAACTCATGTATTGATGAAACAAAAAGAAAAATACTAAATGAGATGGATTCTACGTGTATGCGAGCATGAAGGATCAAAAAGAAGGAGAGAACTCGGATCCTCTAGCCTTGATGCTTCTTTGATGGCAGTCTTCTATCTTTGGATGTCCCATTTCTGAGTGCATAACATCGGGGCTATCTCCACACAACTAAATCAAAATAACCTTATTTTATACTTTATAATACACGATGATGGGCGTCACATTGCTGAAGCTTCCATTTTCATTCTCGGTTTCCAATCACTGTGCAAACTTACATGACCACAACGGTTTTTCAAATTTCTGCACCTTTTGCTGTCGATCCTTAACAAGTGAGAGTTACTCTTTCAGCTAAGAAAAAGCTCGCGACATTGTCATAGGTTTCTGAACAACAGAGTCAAAAGAAATGACCTGAGATAGCGACTCCAGTTCCCTTTCTGAGCAACTGTAACCATAGGTGTGAGAATTTGGACACGTCAGGATGTATGACATTGGTCCACAATGTGGCATTCGAAGGAATTCGGAGGATTTGGCTTGGATCACCAGAAGTTACCACAAGAACAAGTCCCGTTGTGGAAATGATGAAATCTCATGTTATCTCTGATAATGATCTCCCTTCCTGTGATCTCGGATGCAGCACACATGACAGTGTGGCAATCCTCGCATATCCTAAGGTTTTTCATTATCTTAATGGTGTCACCAGCATCAGTACTTAGTAGCCCATATGCCAATGCAAGCTTTTCACTATGACTCATTAGTATCCGTTTCTTTTCATCATCAGTCAAGTCATAAGGCACAGAACTCAAGTTTGGCTTGTATCCATGAGCTCTTAGTCTTTCCAGGAGATGCTCCAAGGCTTGTTTTATCTCATTTGACCGAGGATGAGTCGTATCACCTGCAAAGAACTCGTGAATTTCCCCCTTCTTACCTTCAAACCAGCTGCAGCCAGGATTCTTCTTTAGACCTTTTTCTCTCATTACTCTCCTCAGTTTTGAAACTTCTTCCCACCTTCCCGCCGATGCATATATGTTCGATAGCAAAATGTAGTTCCCAATACCATCTGGTTCGAGCTCAAATAATTGGCTGGCAGCTAACTGAGCAATGTCAGGATTCCCATGGATGCGGCATGCTCCAAGTAGTGCTCCCCATACACCTCCATGGGGATCCATTGGCATGGTTTCAATGAGTTCAAGAGCTTCTTCTAAACATCCAGCTCGACCGAGGAGATCTACCATACATGCATAGTGATCGGGTGAAGGAGCTACACTAAAATACTTCTCCATCTTAGCAAACAGCTGCCGACCTTGTTCAACCATACCGGCATGGCTGCAGGCTGTAAGCACCCCGATAAAGGTAACCTTATTCGGCCTAATCTCAGTCTTCAACATCTCATGAAACAATTGCAAAGCTGAATGAGCACGACCGTGCATAGCATATCCCACAATCATTGAACTATATGAAAATACGTTTCTTTCCTGCATTCCTTCAAAAACCTTATGCGCCTCATCAGGACTCCCACATTTTGAATACATATCAATAAGAGCAGATCCCACAACTACATTTTCAGAAGGCCCAAAACCTGATTTTTCAGCAATATCTCTAATCCAGTTGGCGTATTTAATTGCACCCAACTGTGCACAGGCGGAGACAACACCAACCAATGTAACTTCATCGGTCTCCATACCTACATCCTGCATTTTTTGAAAATACTCCAATGCCTCCTTTGGCCTAGCATTTTGGGCATAACCAGTGACCATTGCCGTCCACGCCACCATATCCTTCACAGGCAATCCATCAAACAGGCCACTGGCAGATTCCATATCCCCAAACTTAGCATACGCCACAATCAGCTCAGTCCAAGAAACCACATCTCTCTCAGACATTTCATCGAACACCTTCCGCCCACAACTCAAAAACCCACATTTCACATACATATCAATCATCGTATTCCCCACATACAAATCAGAAGCAAATCCCCCAATCAGAATCGTCTGGGCATGCACCTGCCTACCCAAACCCAAATCGAGAACAGCACCACAGGCCTTAAAAAGCGCCGAAAACGTAAACGAAACAGGACTGACGCCATCCCTCCTCATTCTAGTATACAAGTTAACAGACTCAGAGAAGGGTCCTTGAAGAGCGTACCCGCGAATCATAGCAGTCCAAAGGAACGGGTTGGGGTACTTAACCTGTTGAAAAACCAGACTGGGGAAGGAATCCATTGGCACATCTATCTTCGTGAGCATGCGAATGAGTTTGGTGAGGACGTAGCAGCATTGGCCCAAGCCGTTGCGGATGATATGGCCATGGACTTCCTTGATTTGAGAAAAGTGGGTGCAGTCGTGAAGAATGGCGATGAGTCGCCATTCTAGGAGTTTCCGCTGCTGTTGAAGCTGAGAAAAAGGAACAAAATTTGGCGTGGCCTGTGTTTGGAGCTGCTGTAAATGGCTGAGCTTGGAGACTGTGGAGAAGTTGCGGGAGAGACCGATCATTATAAAATTGCAGCACTGGGGGCGGACCCTCGGCCGTTCACTCCAGCGATTTCAAAAGCGCTAAACGGTGCGTTTTATTGCTACACAGCCCATAGGTAACAGTATATATATTATATACACTTTTAAATATTACTTACATAATTTTTACTAACCAAGATCTGAGGTTTTAAATATTGATATCGATAGAAATGTCGATGTCTCAATTTAATAAAATATCGATAAAATGTCGATATCCAGAGATATTTATGTAAAAATTACATAAAATAAAAAATTGTAAAAAATATTTAAATTAACAACTAATAAACATTTTCCTATTTCCTTTTAGTACGACACGTGAGAGAGATCAAATTCACAACCTCTTGGTTTTAGATATATGTCAATTACTTATAAGCTATACTAACTTTGGCAATATTTTTCTATTTCTAAATATGTTAAAAATAATTAATATTAATATTATGTATATATTTGTGACATTTTATTAACATTTTTTATATTTTGTCAAATTTTTTTATTATGATGTGAATATCGATTTATCTTACATGTTAATATAAAACATGTAAGATAATTAATATTAATATTATGGATGTAGGACATGTTACTAACATCAATAAAACATTAAAATAAAATAAATTAAAACATTAAAAATATTTTTTTTCCAAAAAAATAAAACATTAAAAACTACTGCAATTTATTAAAAATAATAGTAACAAAGAAGAAAATACTAGAGGTCCATAGATGATTAATGTAACTCAAATTTATTGGTAAATAATGGAGGAATAAAATTCTATTTTATAATTATTGTTTTCGAAAAGTTATAGAACTTTTGAAATTCAAATTAAAGTGATAGGACGTACGTTAATTCTAAATTTTGCAATGTGAACTCGATTTAAAATATTAATAGATGGTTTTTAAAATTATATTTTTAAAATGTTTATAAAAAGTTTTTTTTAAACAAAATGGTCGAGGGGAGTATTAAAACTTGTAAATTATAGTATTTTTGAAATATTGAAACTTGTAAATGGTAGTATTTTTGAAATATTGGATAAAGTTATGGGTATATATATATATTTTTTTCCTTTTTGTAATTTAACCCTTAAATTTGTAATTATTTACTCCGGAGGGTATAGGAATCGTATAGCAATTTCACCCTCCGCTTTGCAATTGAAATTCCCGAATCCGGCCAATAGTCATCGGAGCTCCCCGCCTGCGACCATTCTCCTCAATCCCAAACCCTACGGCAGGAATTTTCCGACAAACGAAGCACATACGAGAAGAATCAGCGGGATTATCGGTTCCGTCTGGTTTTCTGAGTAACAAAATCAGTATGTTTGGGACTGCAATAAGGTATTTCGCGACGAAGCCAAAGCCGAAGATGAAGCCGATAGAGCTAAATACTCCACCGGAGCAAACGCAGACGATTACTAGAGTCATCTTCGACATCGTTAAGGAGCATGGTCCGCTAACCATAGCCGAAACTTGGGACCGCGTTCAGGTAAGCTTTCCTAATAAGCCATTCTTGTTTCTGTGCCGCCTAGTTATGCCGTTTTCTTCAACTTCTTACCACGAATTGTAGAAATTTCTGATTAAATGTGAATTAGATAAATTGATTGATGGAATTCCGCTAGATACTTTGATCATTTCTATTGGGGTTTGGATGTGGCTGGAGAATAGTTGGGAATGTGGACTCTGTTTTGCATTCTTGTCGAATTATTGGTCTGGGGCATTTTCATCTTAGGCAAAACGTTGTCCCTCTATAGCATTTTTTGGCTTCGAAATTGAGGAAAAATAATGTTACATTTACTAAATCCTAAGGTCTTTAAAGAGGATACTTTCCATAGACTGTATTGAGTTGCTTAAATCCTAGTGGAATGACCACCGTTTTTCTCTCAACGCCTGTTAACAATAGGAAAGATTGATGAAAATGCTTTCAACTTTGAGTTGTCTATTATATTGAAGGAGGCAGATATAGTAGCATTGTAGCTCAACTAGAGTGAGAAATGCCACAATTCTGGATCCTTTTTGGTTTTTTGCTTGCTCTTGGTGCTATTTTGTTATAAAAAAGTTCTGTATGTAATTGGCTTGTAATTAGCTGATTAGTGTCTATTCCTTGCCAGGAGGTTGGTTTGAGAGGATTAACAAGCAAAAGGCACATGAAAATAGTAATGAGATGGATGAGGGAACGGCAGAAGTTAAGATTAATGTGCAATCACATAGGATCTCATAAGCAGTTTCTTTATACTACCTGGTTTACGAAATCCAACTTTGGGCAGTCAAAGCCACAGGGGCGTAATTCTTCCCCACCCAAAAGCCCTTGAACGCCTATAGATTACTTGTAAAAAATCTTGAACTGCGTTGTTTCTTTCTTTATTTTTCATGGAAGTTGTACTTTGATTCTTCCATTACTGATATGTAGAATGGATGAACATTATAGACAAGGATTTAACTGCTGCACTTTATTTGTTTAGTGTCAAATCCTTAATCTTAAAACTTTGGTTAGATAATATATTGAACCTTGATGTTGAAATTTATTGTCTATTTCCTGGTGACTTACAAACAGAAAAAGAAAAAGAATACTTGAAAAACTCAACAAAAATATTTGTGTGTTAATGCTTCATTGATGAAACAACTCCAATGCTCAAGTTAGTGTAGATGCTAAAAGAGCTCTATTGTTGGGTCGTTGATGGCTGACTTCAGCCTACGAAGCCTCGACTGTTAAGTTTGCAATTTTACTATATTCTACCGGGGTTGTAGTGAAGTCAAAGAGATAACGAATAACAATTAGATAATTCGTGTACGATATGTTGAGAGATTATTTGCTGTTTAAAATCGCACATCACACTAAAAGAAAAATAGTTCGTTAACGAACTTCTGACTTCGAGAAGAAAGAAGGTTGAAACTCGATTTGATGTGCACCTTTAGCTATTAAAAATTTTTCCAAACCCCTCTTAACCAAGTAATTAGAAGTGTGGTAAAATATATTTCTGCAAAAGAGAAAAAAATTGACATATGAAGAAAGACTTGTCATAAACTAAAGATATTGATTGACAAGAAAGTATTCTTTATTCTCTTTTCTATGTGTGAAATTTCTCTAATCCAAGATGAATTGATTTCGTCTCTTTAATTCATATTACTAATATCATGCATGATTTTTTAAACTAAAGGAACCTGACATAAAGTGAAAGTTTCATTTATTCAAGAATTTAGATGAGTTTATATGTGGAAGCTATTGGAACCTGTTATCTTGTTTTGATGTTCTAGAAATATTATTTCTTTTTTCAATCTTTTACCTTATGGATATGCTTTTGATACTTGTGATAGGGAACCATCCCCAACGGCAATAAAGTATTTTCCATATCACTAAAATTGAAAGTACTCATAAGGTAAAAGCTTAGAAATGAAAATGAGGTTGCTAGTAAATGAAGGGATATATGAAAAAGGTCTTTTCTAGATATAAAATAAGGCCAAAATATCACACAATTTTGCAGCTTCCAAACATGATGATTTTGGATTTTAAGTGCAAAGTATTGTTTGGTATGAAAAAAAGTGATGCCAAAACCACTCCTAGCATGGCATCTATATACTTGATTAAGAGGTGATTTTCTTTTCCCTTGTCGTAAAGGTTCACTTTCAATCTTTATGTGTAATACATAAAACTTTTAATGGTCTGTATTCAAAACGATGTGAATCATAAACGACTCATATATCTCAATGCAATGTCTCGTATTTTCATTATGTGACTCACATGTTTTCCTTTGATCAGTATTAATCAATTATCATGATTCACCGAGGTATGCTGGACTTTTCGATGGTTGCTTAATAATATCACGATAATCCTTAAATTTAGCACAATCTATAATTGAACCACAAACACTTTTTCCACACATGAGACTTATAAGTATCATACTTAAATGAATGAATCTCTCCCACCATTTATATGCCGCTTTTCATATCGGATGTTTGATTATATAGGTGTATTGGTGGCTACCGTAATTTTATTGTATGAGATGATTCAGACAATAAATTTAGCACAGCCTTAATAAAGGGAATATGAGATGGTTCATGATTGTTATTTCACGAGTGGCTACTGTATTTTTATTGTATGAACTATATGGAGTTCATCTCATAAGCAACTACAGGAACCAAATTTAATCTTTAAATTAAACATTTAGAATGATATTTCTTGGGGTGGTGACCAACAAAAGATAAATAAAAGTATACACTATGATCATAGAACTCTTAGAAAACTAACTAAAATCATGTAAAAAGAGAAGTTTTGAGTATAAAATTCATCTCTCATGATTCTATCTAGCTAAGATCATTTGGCTTTGTTGTTTTTTTTTTTCTTCTCCTTTTTCCCTTCTATTCTTCCTTTTGTTGGATGAGAGTTGATAAAGGCTGCTCTAACCCCTATATTCCTTATTTAAGCCATGAACTTAAACAGAGAACTTCTAGTACTATTGAATAGTGTGGAAGAGCGTTTTAACCTCAATTAAATCATCTATCATGATTCTCTTTAAGAGTGTGTCAAGTTTTATTCCATCCTCTTTAATTATGATGTACACAATTAAAATCTCTCTTATTTATCAAAAACTTAATAATGGGAAGCAGAAGATTCTTATTGATTAGTCATTATTTATTTAAGTATTGTTATTCTTCTATTGACTTGAAATTAAACTTGCTTTGAACTCTTAATTAATTTAAGCTATGTTCAACTTTAGATTATTTTTCCCTTTTTAGCTATGAACTTAGTGGGAGAAAATAAACATTATTATTTATTTTCTTTATCCTTGATGCTATTCCAAAGCAAAAAAGAGTATAATTCCAATAGTCTAATCCAATGGTGGGGGCAATTAATCTTCTTTTTCTTAATTAAATAACAAGTGCAATGTCTTTATCGGATTTAGGATCACTTAGAGGCAAAGCAAAGAGAGATAATTAAATAGAATCTTAACCCAATTGTCATAATTAAGAGAGAGAATTTAAAAGAAGGTTCCATCAAAATAATAATGAAACTCATAACCCCTTTTTTCCTTTTCCAACCTAATATATATTACGTTGCATGGGGTTCATGTGGGAATAATTAAAGAGCCATCTCTTTTGGACCTTAATAATTTGAAGAGTCTATTTTCACATTCCTTTTTCCATATTATGTGATAATTTTATTCCAAAGAAATCAAAAGCTGAAAGGATATCCTTCAGTTTATGCTTTGGTGCTTGTTATATGTTTAAATATTACATCAGTCTTTAAATTTTTTTGTTTAAAACTTTATGGTTAATTATCAATCTAGAGACTTCAATTTGGTATTTATGATCCATATTATTTGGTTTGATTAGAAATATAGTTGTTTTTAGAGGATGGTTGATAGAATAATTCCTATGTGGCACATTTTCTATATGACCTCTAATAATTAATTGTCGCTCTATGTCACATGTATATAGAAAACGTATACCACACAAACATCTTGTAACATTATGGGTGTTTCGTGTGGTCGAGCTATAAAAGCGTTCAAACCTAGCCACCTAGCCATGAAATGCTGTAAACCTAGCTAAAAATTTGAATGGAAGAACGAACATTCACAAGAATTATTATAAAAAAGAAACCTAACTAATCGAAGGTATTAATTTTACTGCTTATTCTAATTTAAGGTTGAATTGGGTATTGAAATGAAAAGTTGAAAGATTTAGGTCAACTAACAAAATTGTGAATTTAGGAAGTCGAACAAAATTTAAATGGCTGAGTTTGAGAAATGGATCAAACTCACAGCCTCGAGAAGTTGGTGATTATTATGTCTTTTTATTATTCAACGAAGGAAGTCAGCATAAGAGATGAATTGCAAATTAAGAAACATCATTTGTTTTTAGTTACCTTTAATTTTATTTTGGTGATTGTTCAACTTTAAGCCTATTTCTCTATTAGGCGATTGGTAGCATTGTTCCATCACGGGGTTATTTTCTTTCTTCTATTTTCCCCATGGTAATTATAATTTTACCCAACGTAAATTTTCATGAAAGCAACACAGCCAAAAAAGATGCCATAATCTTCTAAATAACATTCTTCAATCACATTATGATTGCAACTTCACTGTAATTAGTTCCCAAATTAACTGAGAAAACTAGGCTTAGGCTGGCTCGTCTTTCATACTTGTCAATGAAAAAGTGAGAATTAATAGTTTTCAAGTTTTAAGTTTTAATTTTGTGGAATTAAAGTCTAATTAAGTTCAAATAATTAGTATACTTAGACGATTTATTGCTTTTTGAAGATTAGTAATTAGGTAATTGGTTCATGTTCTCGCGGTTGGATAAGCCTATTTTTTTTATCCATGCTGACTTTTTGTCGCTAAGTTATTATTATTTGTTAGCGAAATTTTGGATTGTATTATTTGTTTTGCGGTAATTTTATAGTTGAAACTTATTAATCAGAACTTTAAAGTTAAAAGAAAAAATTAAGAGGTATTCAAATTAAGTTGAAAGACACTTTTTGATCTTTATACTTTAATTCTTTAATTGAAGTAACGGTTCAATCTGAACATGTAACAATTTTGTCCATGTAATTTAAAGTTAGTAATAATTTAGTCTCTACTATCAATATTGTCATTGAAATCAAGAATCAGGTTTTATTATGTAACACTTTTTTTAGTACAAAGTCTTTGTAATTTATAAACATATTTGTGTTGAGGATCCCACGTTGAAAAGAAAACGTACATTTATTTATTGAGGTACATAATAAGAAATTCCATTAAATCTTAACATTTTTTACGATATGGACTAAAATTGTTATAAATATGAAAGTATATAAGTTAAATTGTTATAAACTAAAGTTAATTTTAGTCCCCCATACTATGAAAATGTTAATTTTGGTCCCTGTACTTTTAACTTTGATTCATTTTAGTCCCTATACTTTGAAAATGTTCATTTAAATCCCTATACTTTTAAAAAGTGATCATTTTAACACAAATTTTACACATAAAAGAAACTATTTAGTATAAAGTAATGTTTACATTGTAAGAAATATATTGATTATAATATAATGTTGAAATTGTGATTGAAAAAATGAGATTTAAAATAAAATGAAACGATCAAAATGGTCACTTTTTAAAAGTACATGAACCAAAATGAAGATTTTCATAACATAGGGACTAAAATGAACTAAAGGAGAAAGTACAGGGACCGAAACAAACATTTTAAAAGTATAAGGACTAAAATGAACCAAAAGTGAAATATAGGGAGTAAAATAATATTTTAACCAACAAATTAAAATGGACGTATTTAATTGCACTATCTCAATGAGTTCCAAGTTTTCATTCTTCTGCCTTCCATGTATGGATTAAGAGTCAATGTAGAGTAAGAACTATCCAACTATATTGTCCCATTATTGACTCGATTTGGTCGGTTTTGAATATCCATAGTCATATATAGTCATATATACATTTTTCTTCATTAAAAATAAAGAAATAGAAATAAGAAACAGAAACGTTTTACTAGACACAGGTCCTTAGTGATCAAAATAGAATGAATATGAAAGTTCAAGGACTAATATAAACATTTTGAAAGTTTATAAACACCATAATAAAATAACCTCAAAAGTTTTAAAGATCATCCAAATGAGATTTAAGAAGGTGTAGACCTCAAGTTAAATTCAAAATAGAACTCTAAAGAATTGTTATTTGAAGTCTTAGAATTAGTTGGTTTGGTAGTAATTCTTTTTATACAACATCCTACATAACCCAATTAAAGGCGAGTTTTGGGATACTTTTAGGAAGAAAATATTTGTAAGTGAGAGTTTTTATTTTATACACAATTTTGAAGGAACAGTAGCAGGATATGTTTACGAGTGATTTTACCATGGTTAGAATCACTTTTCTTCGGATCAAAATCACTTCTATCTAAAAATAGAATATTTTTGTAAGGATTCATAAGTGATTTTGGAAAAATCCAAAATCTAAAATCACTGTAAATGATTCTCCGTCAATCACTTAGAAGGTGATTTTTTAAATAATTTTTTACCAAAAAAATAATAGAAACTTAGTTTTATGGTTATTGTTTTAATTTTTAAAATTATCTTTCTATTCACCTTATTTTCACTTAAATTTTTAGAAAATTTTAAAATTTTTGTCACTCTCTAACTTTATTTATCTTTAATTTTATTTATGCTCTCTCTAACTTTTATCTATAAAAATTTTGTTAAATTCTCTTTTTACTTTAAATATTAATCATTCAAAATCATTTTCAATTATATAAAAATCACTTCAAAAAGTTTATAAAACATTAAAATAATTATATAAAAAACACTTCCAAAAAATCATTTATCATTAAATTTTTTTACGAAAGCTACTCATTCTAAAAAACCATTTCCCAAGAGACCCTAAATGGTTCATCTGAAACCATTTAAGTGCTTTCTAATGTTTATTTTTTTTTATTTCAAACTACTTTCAATTAAAAAAAAAAAAAGAAACCACTTTTAATTTGTTAAAACACTGTTGAAAATTTTAATCAAACCATATCGTTTTTTATTGTGACTATGTCTTCAATTCCACTCTTCCATTTCCCTCGTTGTTGGATACTTACTCAATCCAACATGTATTTTATAATGTAGTGGTGCGGTAGACACGCACTACAGCTAGCACATTCGAGTAAGAGCCTTTGTCTTTCTTTGCAATATAAATATGGTCAGAACAAGTACAATATCCTTGATAAAAGAATGAATTAAGGCGCTTTTTAACCATTTGTAAACATTTCAAAAAGCATCTCCAAACACGAGGTTTTATATGGCTTTTCTTCTTTTGCTATATTATTTTGTAATCATTATCCTTGTTGGGTATGAAATTTAGGAATGGCGAACCAAAAAAGAAAAAAAAAAAAAACTTTAGATTTGGTTGGATTAGTTGAATAGTATTATCTGTTGTGCAAAAGGGTGGCTTGGAATATTCTTACTTACCTTCCAACGTTGAAACTTCAAAGATGAGATGCAATTTTCAATTATGATTTGAAGAGAAATTTGATTGCTTTGTGGTTTAGGTTTTTCAACAAAGTTGTTGAGTCTGCCCCTACTTTTTGGTGCCTTCCCTTCAATCCCCACTAATAATTTACATCTCATTATTGCCTAATTACATGGATTAAAAAAAATAATAATAATAAAAAAGGAAAAAAGCAAAATTTCCCTATCTTCTTTCTGACCCAATCAATATATTTTTAATTTAATAATGAATTTTAAAACAACATCAACCTATACATAGTTTAATGGGTTAAGATATTTAACTTCAGAGCAGTTTACATGTTTTTTTTTTATATAAAGTATACTTTTTATTACTAGACATGTGAAATTTTTTGATAGAAAATCCTAGAATAACAAAAATAGTTTTTAAGTATTTTTAGAATTTCTCAAATTATTTTGATTGTACAATTAAGTATAGGATAAAAATATTTTTCATAATTTCAAAAACCATACCGAACTTACCCTAATATCACTACTAATGCAATTAAATTATAAAGGGAGTTATTATTATTATTTTTTAAAGTTTAAATTATAAAGGGAATTAGGTGGTGTGAAGTGAAAGAGCACCAYTAGAAAATTTTAATTAGAAAAAAAGGAACATTTTAAAAGCTAAATGGCAACATAAACTCAATAAGACCTCCTTTTCGGTGGATGGGGAGAGGTGTCCTATGTACCTAAACCAAATGAAAACTTCAATAATTCTCTTCACAATTTTCTATAATCTTTTAATTAATATTATATCCCAAACTAATGATATCTTTCTTTAAATACATATTATTTTTCATTGGATAAATTATTTTCGATTTTTTTCTTTCTTGAGTTTTAGAGKGAAAACTAAATGAATTAGACTCGGGCGTGAGATTGATAACTCTCTCTATTTGATGGTACTTGTTGAGCAGACCATACTTTTAAACGAAGAGGCTATGAACTCATAATTTCGAACCATCTAATATTCTCATTTAATAGTTTAAATATAATCTTATTTTAACAGGGTCGCTTATAAATTAATTCCAACATGCAATTAATTACCCAACGAGCATTGGGTTTGATCAGAACAATCTAGCACTTGAGATCGATGTGTTTCGAAATGGATCTCTCCGTTTACGCTGGGAGGACAGGTTGGAACTAGTTCTAATTATTTTTTTTTTTTGTAGTTTATTTGCTAAAAATTTAAAAAAAAAAGTTATAAGAAGAGAGCTTTGACAAATCCTTAAAAAGTACCTGATGAATAAAATAACTTGTTTTGCTTAAAATTTTTCCAAACAGCCTTTTTAATTATTAATTATCTTTCTAGAAGAAAAAAATTCTACTAAATGGAAACCTAAGAGTAAGATATCTTGGCTTCCAAATTAATTAAACTTTTTGTGTATAAATACCCTATAGTATATAAAAGAAGGAAAAAAAATACATCACATGTGTAATATATGCTTTTGACTAATTTAATAACCAACTAGCAAAAAACAATGAATGATTGTTATTAATAAACCAAAAGCAAAAGTGGGTTTGCTTATCCTTTCATTATGAGATTAAAGTTAATTAATTAGAATCATCAAAGTGAAGTAAAAGAAGAAGCAAGCACTCACTCATATATTTTTACCAACTCCACTTTATTTCTTTGTTAAGTAAAGCTTTAATAGTGAGCTACATATACCAACTCCAACTTTTTGGCTTCTTCATTGCATTATTTATTCTCTACTTTGATTAAAAATCCAGATATAGAAGACTATTCCACAAAGTCTCCCTCTATAAATTAACACTCCAAATCTTCATTGTAGCAAGTTTTCAAAGTTTCCTTTGTGAGGTGAAAAAAAAAAGAAGAGAAAGTTATGGCTCGATCTCGAAGCTTCCTCTTTGCTTTTGCTCTTCTTTCCTTCGCTTCGGTTTGTTTCTCTCACAAGATCGGCAGTGGCAGTGGTGGTAGCAACGGTGGTTATTTGTATCCTCAGTTCTATGATCATTCTTGTCCAAGAGCTCAAGAGATTGTGAAGTCCATAGTGGCTAAGGCATTCGCTAAAGAAGCTCGCATGGCTGCTTCTTTGCTCCGCCTTCATTTTCATGATTGTTTTGTCAAGGTTATTAACAAACAAAGCCTCGTTTTTACCTCTCTTAAACTCTTTCATCAAATGGATTATTCTTCCGCTCTTAGCTTTTGTTTTTAGAAAAACAAGTTTATTATTATCAAACGAGTTGTCATTTGAATATAGATTTAGAGTTGAACATGGATATTTGAGCCACGTAATGTTTGTCATGTGAGAAGCTAATAATTAACATATCAAACATTTTTCAGGGGTGCGATGCTTCACTTTTGTTAGATAGCAGTGGGAAAATAGCTAGTGAAAAAAGGTCCAATCCAAACAGGAACTCTGCTAGAGGCTTTGAAGTCATTGATGAGATCAAATCTGCCTTGGAAAAGGAGTGTCCCGAAACGGTTTCTTGTGCTGATATCTTAGCCATCGCTGCAAGAGACTCCACCGTCATAGTAAGGCCTCTACCTTTTCATTTAAATGTATGCAATTCAATTATTTTAAACCGAACCGTAATTTAACAAGATATAAAAATAGGAAAAGCGTGAGTTCAAACTCAAAAGATTTTTGTGGTAACTTAGACAGGAGGACCTGGATGGGAGGTTCCACTTGGGAGAAGGGACTCAAGAGGAGCAAGTTTAAGTGGGTCTAACAATGACATTCCTGCCCCTAACAACACGTTCCAAACCATTCTCACCAAATTCAAGAGACAAGGCCTTGACATTGTTGATCTTGTTGCTCTTTCTGGTAAAATTTCTCTCCATATCTCATGTTGTTGAAAATATAATATAGATAAAAAAGATTAAATATACCGTAACCTATCAACTGTATCAATATAAATGATTGCAGGAAGCCACACCATTGGAAACTCTCGATGCACGAGCTTCAGGCAACGACTCTACAACCAATCTGGTAATGCCAAGCCTGACCCCTCTCTCGATGCATCCTATGCAGCCCAGCTGCGCATGCAATGCCCGAGATCGGGGGGTGGCCAGAACCTCTTTTTCTTGGACTTCGTCAGCCCAACGAAGTTCGATAATCACTACTTCAAGAACCTTTTGGCCGCGAAGGGTCTGCTGAACTCCGATCAAGTTCTCTTGACGAAGAATCAGCAATCCGCGGAGCTGGTGAAGACATATGCAGAAAATTCTCAGCTGTTCTTTGAGCAGTTTGCCAAGTCCATGGTTAAGATGGGGAACATATCTCCTCTCACTGGCTCAAGGGGTGAGATCAGAAAAAACTGCAGGAAAGTCAACAGAAATTAGGAAGAGAGGAGTTGGGAAAATGAAGATGTTTCAATCTATTGTGTGAAGTTTCTGTCCCTTTGTTAAATTCTTGAATGTATTTTTCTGCTCTGCTTTTACAGCTCATAGTTTGTGAGTTGTGCTCATTGCATCAATGGTGACCAGTTTGGCCACCAATCAAAGTTCATGTATTTGTGTTCCCTTTGCACATGAGCTCTTGTCTAATAAATTTGATAGTCTTTATTTTCTTCTTTACTTCAAATGGATCTATGATGTTCTTTTAAGCCACTTTTGTCATGATTATTAAAGGTAAAATAAATGTTTTTAGTAGTTTAATTACAAACAACTCCATCAAAACAGCTCAACAACTAATAATTTGGGTGCATGGTTCTACGATCTTTGAAAGTACTCCGATCAAATACTAGGGGTACAAGTGCTTTCTCGTAAAACACTTTAAAGTACTTTTAAATTTCTTCGAGAATATGATTATTTTGAAAAACATATTCACCGCATCAAGCATATAGATTTCGGTATCGTTAATTATTCACTGTTACCATAAATCTTGCTGAAAAATTCAGGGACCAACTCCCACAACCACAGCTCCGGGTCCATACCAGTTCATTTGGTTTGGTTATTTAAAAAAAGTGGATTCCCTGATGCCAAATTTGAGAAAACCAAAGATTTTTTATTTGGTTTAGGTGGTGGAATCAAAATAACAAATTGAACGAAATTGTATATAAATTATAAATAAATATTATATAACCCAGCCCAATATTCATTTATAGCCATTACACTCGAGCCCAAACCGATGTTCACTCCTAAGCTCAGCTCCTCAGTTTATGCTTTTCTATTAACGTATTGATTTCATTTCTAATAAGAAATTGATGTTTTAATTTCGTGTCTAAACGGTCTGTAAATCTTTTTAAAACAAAAGTTGAGTTCAGATCGACCAGAATATAGTTCAACTGATTAAGATGTACATCATCGACTAAACAGAACTTACTAAACATAGAATTTAAAGTTTATAAACCTATTAGATACAGTCTAAAAATTCAATAACTTGTAATTCAAACATGGACTGCAAACATTGTAACCATCTGGGTCAACCAAGGTCAAAACAAAAGAAAATTAATTTCAGCAATGAAAATGAGCAACAAAAGTTTGACATTTTATTGATTAATTGATACATTTCTAGAATGTTTGTTTTTTTCTCTAATCAAATCCAGACATTTATTTGGACGGTTCCAGGTCGTATCATAAAAATCTGGGTGAGTGAACTTTTCAGTTGTCTAACGTTTGAATAAATTTAATCATACAAAAACCAAGGACTATATACATACAAGAACTTTTATTTTAAAATTTCTTTTTCAAATTAAAAGAAAAAAAAAAAAAAAACAAGGTTGCCGAGATTGTTATGGCTACTTATAGTACTACAAAACAATTTAACTTTAAATGTCAATTAAAAATATGAATAAATTTTAAGAACTAAAACTATATTTTAAGTTTTTAACCTTAGAACTAATTGGAAATCCGCCACAAAGAAATTAGACTTTAGTTGGACTATATAAATCCATACCTACCATAAACATTAATTTGATAACATGATCAAACTTAATCTGATATCCTTACTGTTCATAGAAACTAATTACAAATATACAAAAAACCAATATATTTGCATGACAATTCATATAGAAAAGAACTTGAAACTTTTTACTTAGAAAATCTAATGAAGCCAAAATTCAAATTAAAAAATTTGAGAAAATCCAAAAACAAAACAAATAGATTTTCAGGGTTTTTTCACATCTAATGTTATCTTTGAAGGAAAACAAGAACTTGAACAGATAGATTTTGAAAATAATTACATGAACAATCTTCCTTAAAGGGTGAGATTTGATAATTGAATTTTTAAAAAATCATAGTAGTGAGTGATACTATAAAGATCCATTATGATGTTAAAAGGAAGGAGGCATTACTAATTTATGAATTTGTAACAAGAGGTTCTCACCCAGGACGGATAACCCACCGGCAAGGAAGGACAGCAGAAGTTGTTCTTTAGACATTGGTAAGAAACACAAATTTATCTTCCTTTACAAATGCCAGGCCTTACCACTTTACTTGGTTTTCATTTCCAGAATCATTTTCTACTTCTTTCGCCTTACAAACGAGGGAAGCCACAGGCATAACAATGGAAGATAATTACGTTACACCTTATCGTCATGGAACCACCACCTCGTCTCTTTTGGAGATCTTCCGTTCCTACAATTCTTTACATAACGGTCGTTATCGTCAGGGCGTTGCTGCAACAGAGAAAAAAAATCAGAGTATTAGGGAATGGGTTATGGTTGACACTTAACACCTGAATCTGAATTAGACAGTACTATCTCACAGCCCCCCACCCCCCAAACTTCCCTATCTTTAGGTATTAGAGCAAATAATAACAGTAGATCTTGAATTTCAAAGCATATCATCCTATGCAGAACACACGACCATTCTTACATCTTAACTTCAAAAATGCAAGAATTTTCCTATTTTCAACACGTCCAAGAAAAACAACTAACGTATTAGATAGAATCAAAGTGTAAAGGAATGTATCAGACCTTTGCCGTGGAGCTTGACAGCATGGAGAGAATGCTGATACAGATAGAACTTACAGTCATCGCAGGCGACCATGAATCGTACAAAATATCTACACAGTTTCAAAGTGAAGGAAAATAACAATGATCAGTCATGCTATGGTGGTGCTTGACAAAGGCTCTCAGACAAAGCTAACCAATATCACAGTTATACACAAGTAGGATAGAATTCAAAACTCCAACATGTATTAGTAACAAACAGTGAAACGCTGGTTAGAAACATGTATGAGAGGAAAAAGTAACAGATGTAACTTTTAAACCACCATATCAAATTCAAGGAAAACGCATCATCTCAGTTGCACATATAAAGAGCATCCGAGAGACTGGCAAGTTGCAGAAAGCATGTTCCCAACTTTACCTTGAAACTACATCCACTGCAAATAATAGAGGTGTCCAAAACCAAACCAACGATCCAAACTAAATTGGTTTGGTTTAGATTTCTCTTTCTTTATGTCTAAACCAAACAAACCAATCACTGATAGTCTCATTCAGTTCAACATATTTCTGTCTAAACCAAACAGATGAATAGAACTTAGATAGCTAAAATAACTAAATAAATAATCCTAAAATGATTTTACATAATACATGATTAATGATTTCTTCTAAAGTCTAAAGTCAAGTTTCAAAGACTTTAAATCCGACATGTTTGTGAATTCCTTTACGTTATCTTTATTTGTTAGCTTAGACTTTTAAATTAATTGGAATTAGTTTTGTTAATATTGCAGGTAGGCTGTCAGATTTAAGTGAATTTTATCATATTTATATTGCATTTGAAAAGGCAGACGTAATGAAAGAAGTTACAGATGATACAAATCAATATATTGATGGATTGGATTGGTTTTTAGTGATGAACAGTTTGGTTCTGTTCTTATTCATTTTAAATATAAAACCAACTGATTTCAAAGATTCCATAACAAACCAAATCAACAAACACCGTAGCAAATACCCTTATGCAATAAACACTGATCTTAAAATAAATTCTCAGCATAGGTCTTTTCATCCGATACAAACTAGCTATTACCAAAAAAGGGACGAAATCCGACATCAAGCAGTACTTTCTCTGTAAACTAGTCTATACTTCAGTATTTGTGTATTTCAAAAGTTGTAAATGGAAAAATAGATGTAAGCCACACGTTGTCCCATCCAACATAAAGTGATCTTTTTTCTGTTGAACTAAGTGGATAAGGTATATATCAAAACTTTTTGTAACATCAATTCATTTAGGTTTTTCATGACGAGTCACTGCTAAGTAGGCCTACAGGTAGCATCACACAATATGGTAGGAAAATCTATTAATGTCTACACTTGAGATATTTACTAGGGTGAAATTCAACTAAACATAATTACTTAAAACCTCTGAAATCTACCCTCTGAAACAAAAATTATAAACAAAACTCCTTATAGATAGTGTTAAGCTCAAACCTAGGCAGATAAAAATAGGGGGGAAAAAATCGAAACAGATACTACAGAGTGAAGAAAGCAATAGATTATAAACTTGATATTCCTGCAGAACTGAAATCTCTTAAATAGAGTGGTCTAGTGAAGCAAAACAATATATACCAACCTAGACAAATGTGACCATTGCTATAGATATGAGGGTGCAGAGGGGCTGGATGCAGAAATATGACCTGTAAAACGGGCACGACAAAATGAAACACAAAACAATCAATAAATATAGCCGCTAAAGGATTATGAAATAGAAGTGATCTCAGAACAGAATTCCATGATTATGTTAGACCTGTGGGGCTTCCATTGGGTAATGCTCTGGAAAGTCCACCTGAAGCTGGTAGGTTTCATTTGCATAGAGAGTACCTGGAGCTCCGTTGACTTCAATCACCCACCTTCCAACAAAAACCCCCAGAAATAAATATAAAATTCGTACTAGGAGCAGAAGAGAGTAAAATTCCTTTCAGAACAATCAAACCTAAACCAAGCCCCAACAACACCAATTCGACGCAATTACATCAAATTCTAGCCTTATTTTGCTTTCCCGAGTTGGAACGGCAGAGACGAATTGAAAACCCTACGAGGAAAAGGAAGAACAAATACCTCTGAAGATTATCGGTGACCTTGTGTTTGAAACCAGCGGGAGGGTTGACCTGCCACTCAACAAGTTCTTTCTGGAGCCGATTGCAAGCAATCTTACTCAGAGCCTGTGAAAATCAATCAAATCAAACACGATAGGAAGAGGAAGAGTCGGAGGAGCAGAATTGAGAAACAGTAAATTGATCGATCAAACATGGCGATGATTCTGATTATGAAGATGAAGATGAAGATGAAGATGACGATGATGATGGTGAAAGAAAAAGAAGGGGCAACCTTACGAGCGGTGTCGGAGGAGCTGGTCATGCTTGGCTTCGCTCCGCAATGGCAGAGGAGAGAGAAAGAGAGAAATGTGACGATGATGTTGACGAAAGGGGCAAAATGGACCGGCCACGCCTTATAACGCCACTCCACTCTCCACCGTAATCCTATTTATTATTTCTTTTCAAAAAATATCTTTCTCTTTTCTTTCTATTATAAATAATAATATTTAATCATTTTACACTACAAGTCTACAAGTCACGATTTCTAACCTAACTTACTATTTTAATAATTTTTTTTCTTTAAAAATAAGACTTAGTATTTACTTCTAAATATAACCCCTTTTTTTTAACCTACCATCTATCAAACAACAAAATTTGAATGAGTAAATTGATTTTTTTATGTATTTTTATATGTGTAATTTCATAAGAATATATAATTACACTTATATTATTAGAGACAAACTTAATTATAAATATAGCATGTTTAAGACATGTCGAACTATATAATTTTTTTTGGTTGAATACAATAAGATGTAGGGTGAGGGCTCGAACCCAAGAACCTTTTGATCGGAATATATCAAGTTGGCAAATTATAATAATTATTAATTAACTTAGATATCAATTATTAATAATTATAGTGATCGCTGTTAAAGTGAGCATAAATTAACGATAATTGGTATATATCTCCAACCAAAAAACTATGAGTTTGATCTTCATCCCCACATGTTGTACTAAAAAAAAGATAATTATAGTAATCACTTATTAGTGTTTATTCTACTTCTTACTATATATTTGTCCTTTTTATTTTATTTTTGTAATGTTTTATCTTAATTAAGCTAAATTTTAGACCATTTTGTTTAATTTTATATTATAATATTATATGACACCTATATCCTTTTTAATTATATAATCGCTATATTTTTAATAATATAATGATACGTCCATATGGTTAACAAATGAGAAGAATAGTGAATACATCTTCTTAATTTAGAAATGATATTAAATTATTCTTAGTCGATATATTTGGCTTATGTTTAAAGTTGCATATCTCGATTAGACTTAGTAAAGTGTCTAGGATTTTGTAATAAAAAATCTTGTCAATTTTAACAGAAAGTCCTACTTACATAGCTTTTCATATGGCCCAATAGCCAATAGACTCTTTAAATCAACATGTTCTATCTTCACAAATCATAGTTCATTGTATTCCTTCGATAAAAATATTCATCTAACTATACCATTTTTCGGAAACAGGTGTATAGAAATCCTTACCATATATTTAAAGAATGCATTTGTTTGTATGATCATAGAAGGAATTTGTTTGTTTTTATCTTCATTTCGTCCTCACCACTAACTTGATAGTCGAGATCATTTCAACAAATAGTATATTGTGTTGGATCTCTTAGACAATTTTGAAAATCTAAATATTATTTTCTTTGTTATTATTACTCACTAAGAAGAACATATATATGATATCATTTTTATAAGATATTATTTTTTTATTAGTCATTCTAAAATTTCATAAGAGCACTTTTCTACCATTTTTAAGACAATGCATTGTTCTTTAAACCTTTTTACAATAAAAAATAAAGTTCTTTCTTTTTGTTATCTTCTTGTTTTTTAATCTAATTTAGCACAACATGATAAAATCGTTTAAGTTCAAAAGTTTATTTAGATCACAAATTTTCCAAATATTTTTATCAAATTTGTCATACGAAACCAAAGGGGAAAAAATGGTTACTTTTGGTAATTGAATGAAATAATATTCAAAAGGAACATTTGGACTATTATGTCCCTAACGTAATGTACAATTGGACTATTAAAATGTAACACCTTTTATGTTTAAAATAAAAGGAAAATTTGAAGAAATATTTTATTTTTTAGGTCATCATGTTATCAAATTTCTAAGGTTATAAAATAAGTCATTCACAATTAATTAAATAACTATTTTAATTTTAAATAAAGTGTTTTCTCCCTTTATCTAATTAATACTTAACCTATTACTAATTCATTAAAATTTAAGTGTCTTAACCACTTGAGCACAGCTATAAAAAGCACATATAATTTAATTTAATTTATTTGTAATAAAAAGCATGCATTAACAAATTCCCCTATAATGCCTAACATAATTAACAAATTGAATTTAGATTTGAATCTTTTAAACCCACAATTAAAACTAGCTGCATAGGTCTATTGCAAAATTAAAACAAAAAACCTTAACATAAGTTGTTAGTTTAATTTTAAAGCTTCAAAATTTCCCCCAGTTGTTTATTTTCGATAGGCAATCTAATAGAAATTATTAACATAGAATTTAAAAGCGGCTCATGAGGCATTACATAAGTTGAGGGCAAATTTGAAACCAATTACATATATTATCGACATCTTGTATAATTCAATGTTTAATTAAAAAAAAAAGCTAAACCAATGTTCTACAAAGGAAAACATATCAAATGAAAATAATAAATAAAGTAAAAAATAAAATAATTATCAAATTTTATTGCCCCTTTGACACATTAAATAATTGTTTTGAAGGAAGAATTTGATGTGAGATTCACTCTGCTTGCTAGTAAAGTTATATGCTGTAATGCAATAATATAACTTTTGAAGGGAGAATTTGATTCTATTTCCAAAAATCTTATTATCTCTTCAAGAAAGGAGTCAAAATTCCAAAGTTAGGTTGAAAGAGGGACTTGGTACATATTGCATATAATATTGCCAATTTCCAAAGTTTATTACTTTATAATTAATAATTGTACATTGTTTCTTCAATCAATTAATAATAAAAATATTATTTCAACCTCATGTAATCTTTTTAGGTTCCAAGGGTGTAGTAAAAAATATGGGAAAGTATCTTGATTTTTTTTTTGTCAAAATAATATTTAGAATTATGATGGGATGACTTGTAATAGTTAATATCATTATACACAATAAAATCACCATTCATAAACATATGATTTTGAGAAGAGTAATGATTTTTATTTCTTTAAAATGAAAATAGGATATTTGTGAAAAAAAAAACACTAACAAACAAGAAAAAGAAAAGTTAATCTAAACACCTTTTTGTTGAATTTTTATTCTCAAGGAACATTAAAAAAAAAATAAAAAATAAAAAATGGAATCAATTCCAAACCATTTAAGATTTTCTATTACCTTTTTTCTTTTTAAATTACTATTTTTAAAAAAAAAAAATCTGACGAGAAGATGGAAATTCAAACATCTAACTTAATAGATTCATCACCTCTTGTTAAACATATTCGTATTATAAATTATTTAATTTAATGGTACTTTAGTATTGTTATAGATAATTTTACTTGTCAAACCGAGACATATATCTCAAACCAAGTGGTGGTTAGTTCGATTCCCCACCCCCACATGTCGTACTAAAAAAAATGATAGATAATTTTACTTGAATTTTCTTTTTCTAGCGTATTAAGGCAGAGATTGATGCTTGCTAATTAATTGTCTTTCCCTATGACTTCTAAAAGCTTTACAAAATTCTTTGAGCCCCCAGTTGGGATGGGCATATTCCAAACTTGATTGATGGTGATGAGTTTAGGTGAGCTTGTTCTCCCACCGAGAAAATCGTATGCATATTTATTTGATTATCTTCAATTTTGTTTATTTTTTTACTCAAAACGTTCATTTTGATTTTTTACTTTTAAAAAATGATCATTTTTTGTCCCTGTTTGCAAAATTTTGAACACATTATATACACATAAAAGACCACGTTTTTATTCTTGTACTTTTAAAAATTTGCAAAATTTTAGACACATAATATACACATAAAAAACCATTTAATATAAAGTCATAACTAMATTTCAAGAAATATATTGAGTAGTGACGTTTTGAAGGGATCAAGATGATCATTTTTTCAAAGTACGGTGAACAAACGAATATTTTGAAAATTAGAGGTTAAAATACATGGATTAAAATATACATTTTGAAAGTATAGATATCAAAATGAACTAAAATGTGGTCAAATACGGTTACCTTTTTAGAACATACTAGAGTGTGCTAGTAGATGGCTCAGCTTCCAATCCTAGATTGACATTTAATTGTCGTAGAAAGAAACAAAATGAAACCAAAAGCCAATTTACACGCATGCAAACATGCGTCTATCCAAAGCTATACACACAACTTAGAATTGGTGCACACCATACTATTTGTAATGGAAAAAGCAGAATAAAATCCTACATGGTTCCAGAAAGAGGATTTGGTCAACATCATTCCAATAGGATAAAATTTTCAAACATTTTAGAAAGTAAATCAGATTTCAAGTGTGAGGTTCTTATAAAAACAGTTCTTTAATTCTTTAACTTTCAAAATATTAGTCAAATTTTAAAAGCAAAAAACAAACAAGTTTTGGGAAGCTGCATTTCTTTTAGTTTTCAAGCAATTTCATAAATAAATATTTTTGAAATTTTAGATTGTAAAAGCAAAAAAAAGAAAAATATTCGTAAATGAATATGATTCTAGAAACAAAAACATGATCAAACAAGCACTGAACTACTTTAACTATACATTTTCATGCTATTTTCACATATACCAAAGTCGCATGAAAGTTGGGATTTCTCAAACATTATTGATGCTTTTCACTACAATCTAACCAGTTAATGTCTGATACATCCATGGAAGCTATAAATCACAGAACTGATTTCTTATTTTTATGATTAGCTACTTACAACATCCCTTCAGTTAAGGAATTGTCATCTGTGCATTTTGGATTTGCCAAGGCGTCATTATGCAAACCCCTTTGTTCTGGATTCTTTATTTCACAAGCAACTGTCAAATGCTCTGCTAAAACTCAAACACTTGAGACATTTATTCAAGAACCTGCTTCGGGTGAGGAATCAAGGGAGTGCGGCAGAACTTTATAGGGGTTGAGTATGCCACGAGGGTCCAGCAATTTCTTGATAGAAGCCATGATTTGTACCTATGTAGGTTGTTTTGAGTTAAAAAAAATGTTATAAAGAAACCTACATAAGTCAAAAGAACCATTTTTTGTAATCCCTAGTCCCTAAACTCTTTTTCGGTCTTGTATAATAATAGGTCTCTAAACATTAAAAAATATCTAAAGCGTGAATTTTGTGTCTAATAGATCCATGAGTTTTGAAAAATATCTAATAAGTTTGAGACTTAATAGACACAAATTTGAAAAAATTTAGGGACCTATTAGATACAACTCTTAAAGATTAGGGACTAAACTTGTAATTTAACCTTAAATAAAATCGGAAAACTTCTCAGGTTTTTAAAACACTAACAGTTTCAGGTGACTTGCTATAAAAAATCTTGTTGGCTTTCATCAGTCCCAAGCCATGCTCTGCACTGATGCTTCCACGATGGTTAGAAGTCCATTCATAGACAAAGGGTTCAATCTGTGCTAAAACCTGAAAAGTCATCATCACACATGAAAAACAAAACTGATGCCAAATACCTAAAGATCTCAGCTGTACAGGATAGACGGATGGCATTACCGCATCATCATATTGTGGAGTTGAAATATTCAGATGCAAGTTACCATCTCCAAGGTGGCCGTAACCAACTACTTTAACGGAATCACCTAAAGAAAAAGCAGATATTAAAGTGTTTATAAATCTTGTAGTGCAAAAACCACAAGTTCCTGTGAGAATACCTCTTACCAAGTCTTGTTCGCATCACTTCAACAAGATCGTACATCTTCTCAACAGGTAATGACAAATCATACTTGTAAACAGCTCCTGCTTTCATCAATGCCTCTGGAATGCCCTACAGTTGGACAATCAAACTAGGGAAGATAAATATACGATAACTTGAAAGTAGAACATGATCCCTTACGTTTCAAAATAATACCTAATGCCTCATTTTCTTGAAGAGAATGAAATATTAATGAGAATTAAGTTGTGCGAAAATATTCAAAGTCCCATATGGCATTCACTCCATTAATTGCAGCAGATTGAAGATCGCTGTATTGCCAGGTATAAATACCTCACGGATCTGCCAAAAAGAGGATATTTGATTGATGTCTTGTGCAAGGACACCGTCAGAGATCAAGCCGCCTTCCATCGAACTAAGTAGAAATGCTTCAAGCTTTTCCCTGGTAATCCAAATATGATAGCACTAAGCAGAAAGTAAGATTGCAAAAACATGCCACAGCAGCAACAGTTTAAAATTTTAAGCATGACTCTGAAATGTGCAAGACAAATGTTTTATACAATTTGACATTATGTCAATGAAAAGAAAATGCAGTCAATTCTTTTCGACAATGCATTTCTATTTGAGTTTTTTATTTCAGCACAAAATTGACGGAATGAATTTATTAGTTTTACTTACTATTTACTATTTATGGTTTTTAGAAAATGGCAAACATTAAATTCAGTAAGCCCTCAACTTTCTACAGCATGTTTTACAGTTCAAACACCTTAAATAGAATTTAAGAGCACGAGCAAACAGAGTTGTATAAGCAACCCTCTATGAAGAGCTTTTGTATTGTCATTTTAGTCTTGGTGGATGTATACATGAAGATCTCATAACTTTGTTGACCTTCATAGATCTTGACAACTCAATACTCTTTCTTTTGTGCCTTTTCCCCTTTTTTCAACTTACATGTGGTCCAAATACATTCAAGAAATGATGAATCGCCAAGGAGATCATTTATTACACCAATAAAAGAACTGTCAGTCTTAAGCAGATAAATGACTATAAGCTGGTAAAAGAGTTACTTGTCATATGATTCATCATTGCCAGTCGTCTCGATTAGAACATAAAAGTTGTGCATTGGAGGCAATGGATTCCGAATACCTTCTAAATGATTGAGAACCTGTGCACATAAAGTGAAGTGAGTGTGGCATTGGAAGTACAAAAGTAGAAAAGATCTCTTTCAGAGATTACAAGCAAAGCCCCCAAATACTTCCCTGAGAAAATCAATACAGCTAAGTGAAAATATGATAATTAATTCAAAATTATTTTTTCACTTTTAATACAAACATTCCTGTCAAATAAATTTATATTTCAAACATTATCCAAAATGTAAACCGCTTTATATTTGTATCCACCAGCTGTCAGGACAAAGTTATTTATAACTGTGAACGTGAACACAATGTGAAGTTTTTCTTTTTGGTACAAGTTTTTGGATTATGTTTTATTGACCTATTGGCTAAACACTATTTTTACATCCTTCGACAGTCGACACTCTTTCTGCCTGTATATGCATGGGATAGTTAGTGATTGCTCATTTACATATATCTCGCTTTCCAACTGGAACATATAATAAGCTGAAAAATAAGTGTGTTGAACCATGGAAAGTATTAAAGAAAATTGTAGATAATGCTTACACAGTGGAGCTTCCACATCACTTGAATATTCTATATTTAGTGTGTTGGACCATGCAAAGTATTAAAGAAGATTGGAGATAATGCTTACTCGGAGGAGCTTCCACATCCTATATTCAATTTTTTGAATCTCTTAAGAGTATTATACGCCATATCATGATTAAAATCTGTGTAACATATGGACGAGTTATTTTCTATTGCGCGGGTGAGGGGAACGAACTGATGTAAGATGTGTTCTTAGGGAATATTAATTCTTGGGATGTTAAAATTGATTCGTTCCATGGAATTTATTGTTTAACTTTAGGTTTTTTATTTTTTATTTTTTTTTTAGGTTGAGAAAATTAGATGTTGGTAAGGGTAATTTTCTTAATTGATGAGTGGTATTTTTTAATTAGAAATGTGTGGCAACTTGCAAATAATGGCTGCTATTTGGTCGTAATCAGTTTTCTCCGATCCATAATGGACTCTAATTTTTAGTGTTTTCCATAGCTCTATGAAGGGAGAAATACTGTACGAATGAACTCTAGAATTTCTGATGCCATTTTTTTCCACAACAAATTTACTCCATATAGCCCTCCTTGTCCCACTCTTTGTGGCTCCTCGAAGAAAGTCACTGAAGAGCTCTTCAATCAAGTTAGCAAGCTTTTCAGGCATAGTAAAAAGATATAATATAGTAATTAGAAAATTACGAAATTAGAGAGAAGCTTGGAGAAGGGTGATTCAGCATCCTTTAGAAATGAAGCTATTCTTCCACTCTTGGAGGTTGTTGTCAATTCTTTCAATAACGAGAGCCCAAAAGGAGAAAAAGACCAAGGATAATCATTAAGGGGAGCCCCAAATAAGCAATAGGCCAATTGCCTAATTCGCACCCAAAGCCTAGAGCAATTTGTTCAGCGCGGGAGGCCTCACAATTGATGCAAACAACCTTCAATTTGCCATAACTAATATTTAGCCTAGATGCCTCTTCAAATATCTGGACAACATTAAAGAGATTGTCAAGATTTTCCTTGAGAAAAGAATAGTGTCATTTGCAAGTGATTGATGACAGGGAAAGGAAGTTATTTCCCACAGGAAAGTATTTCAACAAGCCCAAAGAGGACATCGAGAGAGAAGTCAACTTAGACAATTCACAAAACTATTTATGAGAGAGGACCCGTTAGGCAAATACTCCTAGTAGCTTGGATTTCGCCCCTAGGATTTTAATTTATTATAATAAACTGATTTGCATTAGAGAGGATAGGCCAAATCCAATTTCTCCCCTAGGTACCAAGTACCAAAGCCTATAGCAAGTAAAATAGGATCCAAGAATTCCCAATCTATTTTGTTCAAAGCTGTCTCAAGATCAATCTAAATAACATGTATTCAATTTTTTATTGTTTCTAAAAATTCAAAATAAATTATTCATTGGATTATGTATCATACAGGCCCTTAGGTTTCCAATAGTACCACCGTATCCAAATAAGAAAACTATCCGCGACTAAGATCTCTCTGACAATTAAGTTATCCATGATTGAAGAAGAAAATAGTGATTAAGATCTCACCAAATCCATCGACATGTTATCCAGAAATTCAAACGCTGAAAGAATCTCCCCAAGTTTCCTCTTTGCATCCACTAGAAGTTTCTAGTTAATAGATAAATACATAAATGTCAGAAGAAAAAATACATACTTTCGCAAAGCAAGAAGTAAAACGGGTTTTTCTCAGAGAAGCAAAAAGGATGCACAAAAGCCTAAGCGAGAAGTTTATAATAAAAAACTAGACTTAATAATTGGCAGATATTTGTTTGAAGCCTTTTTAGCTATTCCTTTTGTGTAATCATGCAGAATGGAGATTTCCAATTCAAAATAATTTTTATATAACCATGCATATTGAATATTTTAAAATTTGTGCTGCCATTGGTCCCTACTTTATAATTCGAGAGTGGATATGAATCAGCTAAAATGATTTGAAAAAAGGAGTTATGGTGAACAGAAAAACCAGAGTTGGGTACCTGGCAGCTCGAGTAATCTTTACAACCAAGAAATGCTACGTTAGTAGCGGGTAGTTTAGGTGGGGTAAGAATTGAAATCTTAGTTATAATTCCCAAGGTACCTTCACTACCTAAAACATAAAACATTATCAGTGCTGATACAACGTCTTATGGAGATAGTCGATCTATAGATTAAATGTGAAATGGATAACATATTAAGCACACACCTATAAACAAATGTTTTAAATCATATCCAGTATTATCTTTACGTAAAGTTCCCAGCATGTCAAGCACACTACCATCTGCTAAAACAACTTCAAGGCCTGAAAGAATAGACAAAAACTTGATGAAGACTTACACTTCCAGAGATACAAAAATATGTATGTAATTTAGCTCGTTTATGATTCTCTTCTTCAAAAAGAGTGGATAACAGCATCAAATGCTGCTTTTCTATGTGATTAACTCGTACCAATTACAACAAGAGAGACAAAATTATGTATGTAATTCATGAATCAGAACGAAATGGACACGTGAAGTCCTTACCAAGTACACTTCCATGAAGAGATCCATAACGAACAAGGCGCAAACCACCTGCATTAGTGGAAACATTTCCACCAATCTGGCAGCTTCCTTTAGCACCCAAGTCCAGTGGCATGATAAATCTGAATGGAGACGTAAAATATCATGAAAAGAATGTAATGCTTATTCTCTACCAAAAAAAAAACAAAAAAACAAAAAAAAACAAACAAACCACTTCAGGAAGGCTGGGAAAAGCCCGGGAAAATGAAATAACTGGTAAATTTGACCTCATGTTGTACTGATTGCCCCGTTACATCAATGTATATCACTATCGGTATCGTTATTTAACATAACCATTTCTACACACTATTACCCAAACTTTTCAATTAGTAATTTCAGTGTCATTAATATAATTTTTTTATTTGATTCATCAATTATATAATTTCTTTTATAATAGTGTCAAATATATTTATATACAAATTATTGACATTTAAAATCAAGGATGATTTTCATTAGAAAAAGAAAGGTTAAATTACTAGTCCTGAACTTTTGGGTTGTGCGAGCCTCCCTTTTAAATTGCTTCCCAATTCTATTATGACTTATTTTTCTATAAAGACTTCTAGTTCTAGAGCCTTAGAGAAGAAAAGTGAAGCAGATAACTTATCTAACACATTAAATTATGTCATGCGTATAGGGTTATATCCTGAATAAGTTATGAACAATTAAACTATTAAAGAAAACTATTGCACCATACCACAAAACAGGCTCAGCAAAAGCACAAGTTAACATACATGCATCAAAATCAGCAGATAATTCCCAGTAATTATTAATGTGATAAAACATACTAAACAATTGTTACTGAGAATAATGAGACAGTCAAGCCATATTTATGTTGTGGAATGTGGAACTAGAAAAGGATTCCCAAAGTGTATGTTAGCAAAGGAAGCCTAGTCTGCTGAAAATTACCCTAGGTTGTCCAGGAAGGAAGACAAGTTTTCTAAGATGCCACCGGCTTCACAAACAAGTATGCCACTAACCTGAAGAACGCAACAGAATAGCTACCCAATAAGTACGGATCACATAATTGCATTGAAAAGGAATAGTAATAATTATTAACTAAATGAGAATTTCATTAAAAAAAAAATGACATGATAATGATTGCAAAGCAGGAAACAGGAGCTTTTGTCAGTTTCTCCAAGAAACTTTCAAGTGGTGATGGATTATGCTATGTCTCGAAGTACTGGTATATGAAGATCGAACTTTGTCCTTTGGCTTTTAACTTAAACTTCAGATAAGTTATGAAACAAAATCTTGCCTAAAATGGTTAAAAGTAGTACTTCCAACTTGTCGTTAAAACTTAAAATAATAAGGGAGAGAGGACAGAGAGGGGAACTAGTGAACAAATGAAAAGGATTGTTCACCTTGTCAAATGATATGATGTCATTCAACAATCCAAGGTTGATAATTACCTGCAAAGAAAGCTATTCTTTTTTGTTAAAATTTCAAAAAGAAAGCTATTCAGAGACGAGCTATCTCCATTGGATTTTCTGCACTTAATGATATTACTTTAACGTGAATTCATAAATTGTCCATAGAGTCCACAACATTTGTCTAAATTAACAAGCAATCTTGATATGAAAATGTTGTTAGACTGGCTACACCTTAAAAAGCAGACGTTTATTGATAGGATATCCATAACTTTAGAATCAAAATAATTATCTTGATTATAAACATGTGAAAGGAAATATGTGCTTCACTAATCAGTTGAAGTACAGGAACCAAATAAAAAACTAACAACTACATTACTTCATCAAAAACTGGAACACTTCCGCCAACAAGACCAGTATTTCCACCTTGGGGTACAACAGGCAAGTATCTGGAGTTACAGTATTTAAGAATCTGAGAGACCTGAGATAAGATGTAAAACAACATATCAATCCTTAGTTAACTAAAGATATCCAAATTTCAAAAGGCACCTAAATAGGGAAAAAATTTGGAAAAATACACAAAATGTATAGAAATAAGAACAGTGGGTTGGTCCTTAGATAAATGAAACATGTTTTTAGAGTAAAAGGGATTGGAGCTGATAATAGATTGAGCAATAGAAATTAGGTTGCCTTTTTGTTGGGTTTTTTGAGCTCAAAAGGTATTCAAATAAAGAAAGAAAGAAATAGCAATCTGGAAACCTTGAACCAAGAAAATAACTCAGACGTCTCAGATACTTCAGAGCATAGATGTTTCCATTTGAGCCTCTTTTAATGATGATATCACATATGTAAACTATAATATACATACAAGTACGACCAGTAAAAAGAGTAAAGGGTTTTGATTTGTCTTTGAACTAGTGAAGGATAAGACCAGGTTTGAGCGTCTGTTTTAGGCCATATATTGCTTTCTGCAGTTTACAAACCAGTGAATTATTACCATCATTTACTTGAAAACCTGGTGGTTGTTCCATAAGCACTTATTCTTGCAGATAACCGAAAAGGAAAGCCCATATGTCTACTTGTCTAAGATTCAAGTTATGAGCAAGAGCAAGTGCCAATAAAGACAGATTGTTATGGGTATCACGATTAGGCTGAAGGTTTTAGTATAAACCAAATTAGCATGTTAGTGATAACCTTTGGCAATTACTCAGGGCTTAGAACCATGAGAAAGTTTCGTCAAAGTGCCTTTTTATTTTGAAAACCCACTTACAAGTGACACCTAATTATTTGTCTTGAGGAGTTTCGGAACCAAGCTCCATTTCTGGTTATTTATCAATGCCAGAAACTCATCCTGCACGGCCTTCTTACCATTCACTAGGTATGTTACAAGCATCATTTCTTGGATTTGAATACCCTTTTTTCTCTGGTAACCATAAGATTCGTATTTAAAGAGGTGAAACTGAGTAAGAGCCCGTACAGAATAACGAGGGCAAGATTTTTCTGGAGATGGTTGGATATCTTTGGAAGCTCGTGGCAGACATATATCAGTTGAGGATGTGGAAAAAGAGTCATTGAATGTAGCTTCAGGATAGAAAAGAACGGTACTGATCACACCAAAAAGTGAATGTTGTAGAGTAAAGAATGTGATCGTGTTTCAGGACTATTTAAAGAAGTTGCTGAACTAAAAGAATAACCAAACTTTGCATAACTGTCTACAGAACTGTACAGCTCAACAGAAAACTTAAACAGCTATTATTGAGCTTCCTTAACAGTCAGGACATGGCAACATAAAATCTATGCTCTTCTAGAAGACCAACTAGACCATGACATCACTTTTCACTATATTTCAACATTCTATAAACTATAGGCATTAGTTATTAGCTTTAGAACTTTGAGTTCAACAATGAGCATTGACCATAAAGAACAAAAAAATAATAGCCTCAACTCAACGAAGAAGAATTAAACCTCCTCAGTGCTCCTAGGTTGTAGTAAAAGCTTACTCGACCCTCTATACTTCCGCATCCAATCTGTATTTGCATCCAAAAGCCTGTCCTCATCCTGAACTACATTTTTCTCCCCCAAAATACTCCGGAAAAAGTCGATATCATCAGAATTTAACCTCGAAAATGAAGGATTTCTCTGAACCTCCGACGATAATGAAGTAAAGCGTCTGAACTGAAATCCGCCTCCCACTCTAAAATGATCGAGCGCAGAAGCGTTAAGAGCATTTCTGCAACCTCGAATTGAACCAAGAAATGGTGAATTTGGCGTCCAGTCCCTAATGCCAGGCGTTTTGGAGCACGAGGGAATTCCTACAAATTCCGGGAAAATGAGACCAGGTAATTAAACAAACTAGTAATGTATATCAATCAGATGGATCGGCATGAAGAAGCATACAGCAAATGAAATCAGATAGACGTGGAGCTGAACCTGAAAGGAGAAGCGAATTCTTGTAATTAAGATTGAAACGTTGATCCGAGTGGAAAAATCGAGAGTATCTGAAGAAATAATTCGTAGCTTTGTTCTTCATCATCGTCGTCATCATCTAAAGCTTCGTTCTAACTCGTTTTAACTTCGAAATCTGATGCGCTAGGATTAGGAATTCATTTTCATACAAATTTAAGATAAATATCTTACTAATCGTAAATAGTTACGTACGCTAGGAGAGCACTTCATTCCGTTTCATAAATTAAAATTTWAAAAATAATAATAAGAAGAATTACGAAGATATGCCGCGTAAGAATTGCTAACGTGAATAGTTGAAACTTGAAACGTCTACAATAACAATAAAATAAAATAAAAGAATTAAGGACCGTTTATAATATCTCAGACTCGTTTTCTATTTTTCGTTTTTGAAAAATCTTGAACAATTTTTCGTTTTCTATTTTCTAAAAATAATTATTCTTAAAAAGTCCTTTTTAACTGTTATTATTTTTCTCTTTTATCTATTAATATCTAATAAGTTAGATCAAAATAATGATAATTATACTTATCTCTAATCATGAGATTGTGAGTTTGATACTCTATTCTAATCTCTTGTAAATATATATATATATATATATAAATAAAAAAATTTCTCTCTCTTATTTTTTTTTCCATCAAAAAAGGTTGTCACCCTCTCAAATTCTATATCTTTATAATTTTTTAGTTCAATCCTATAAAGGTAGACATTCCAATCCAACATCCAATTTCTTAATCAAAGAAATATGAGTTATAACTTTAGGTACCTTTTATTTCCATTTTTCTTAATTTTTCTTTTTCTCTCTCAAAATTTAATAATTTCTCGAATTTTTCTCTTATGAACTTTTATTTATAAGAAATTTATTCTCTAAATTTTCTTCTCTTATTAATTTATTTTTTCTCTAAAATTAAATCTTTTAACCTTTTTCTATCTAAACTTCTTTTTAAATTGTTCTCTAATTATAATTTTCTTTTTGTTTTATAATTTTTCTTTTATTTCTATAATAAGTCTTTCGTTCTTAACTAGTTAACTTAAAGTGTTACACAAAACATAGTTTAATTGGTTAAGAAATCTATCTTTGACCAAAGGATAGTGAGTCAGAAACATACTCGACTCCGCCCCTTTGCTATATCTATTTTACATAAAATTTTCTTTTTCTAACATATATAACTCTCTAGCTTTTTATCAGAAAAATAAAAATTAAGAAACAAAAAATAAAAATAGAAATATATAAATAGTTATCGAGACCAGAGTTTTCTTAGTTAAATAATTATTAGATGAAGATCAAACTATAATTTTTTTAGGGAGTGTCCCTAACCTATAGATTAATATGATTTTAGCTATTTTAGGAGTTGACTTTCTAAAAAAATCGACTAAGTTTGATTTTTAATTATTTTTCTTAAAAATAAATAATTAAACTAAACTAATGGTAATAGTCAATAAGGATGGCAATGAAACTAGGTGGGATCGAGATGTACTCTTCATATCTACAAACCACATTAACTTCTAATCTTGTATTTGACACATTTCCCATTTTGAATAAGTGGAGTTGAGAAATCTTTGCATTCTAGGATAATTATTTTTTTCTTTCTAAAATAAATTGGGTTAAAACATACGTTTCATCCCCATATTTTCACTAAAGTAACAATTTAGTTTCTGAACTTTAACTTGTAATGATTTAGTCCTTATACTTTTCCTAAAGTAACAATTTAGTTCTTGAACTTTAACTTGTAACGATTTAGTCTATGTAGTTTAAAATTTGTAACAATTTAGTCCTTGTCGTAAAAAATTTTATTAAATTAAGTTTCAAATTTTATTATATAATAATTTAATCTTTCTAATTCATAAACATATTTGGTCACTCTTTAGTTTATCAATCTATACATACAAGAAACTTAACAAAAAAAATTTCACGATAAAGACTAAATCGTTACCAACTTTAAATTACAAGGACTAAATCGTTATATATTAAAGTTCAAGGACTAAATTGTTACCAATTTGACTGTACAGAGATTAAATCGTTACAAACTAAAATTTAGACAGTACATGAACTAAATCGTCACAAACTAAAGTTTAGAGATTAAATTGTTACCTCAGCGAAGTACCTGAACTAAAAGTATTTTTTTAACAAATAAACTATTATAATTATATGATCAATTTCTCCCCATGCTGATGGATTGATACCTCACAATTTAATTTGACTAGCGTATATTAAAAATCTCTTCTTCTTTTTTTCACATCAAATGCAATGTACCTCACTTAAAACATAAAACTTTTTATATAAAATTGGAATTAACTTTTGATGAAGGATGAATTCCTAACTTGGCACGTGTCATCATTAAAAGAAGCACAATAATGTATCTGACCGAATTAAAGTCTAGTTGGCCGAACACTCTCAATGCCTTAGATGGTTCCAATTGCACCACTAACTTAGTGATTCTACATGGAGGATCCCGTGATATAGTTACTTCCGTGATCTCCAACCGATTGCAACCAACTGTCTCATCTTCATAAATCCCAAAGCTAACAATAAAGCGAGGTACGTCCGAATTTGATGAATTTGAAAACGACTTAAAACTGATTTAAGTATTGAAGTACTAATCTTCAATTTTGTGGGAATCAAATTTCCTACCGTCTGAATTTGAGTATTTTGGCCAAATTTTGGCTCAAACAGCTTGAACATTAAAATGAATACCAAAGTAAAGTAAATGTGCAAATTATAAACACATAACAGAAATACAATACACTAATATTATCATTGTGAATGTGTGAGTGCAAATCATTATTCTTATCCACACAGAGTAATGCATATATATGATTTCTCTTATTGAATGGTCTCTCAAGTCTCAATAATGACATATGGTCGTTTACGGTTTACCTCTTTTTCATCAAACGGTAAACGACATTTGGGCAAAATGATGAAATCAACGGCTCCGGCATGCCATCATTTATTCCATTGCAACCCGCCAAACAAGGAATAATAAGGGCTCTAACTTTTGATCATTCATCATGAAGGGGTTGGGGGTATTTTGACCCCTTTTTTACGAATTACACGTCTTGAGGTTTGAATTTGATCTCGATTAAATTTTGAGGTTTCAAGATCATTGTTTATCAACAAAATGTCATTACTATATACACAATATTAATATTAATTATTTTTAAATCAAGAGTAACATTTTCATTATCAAAATTTAGAAGATAATTATATGCTAAATTATTTTTTAATAGACAGAGTGACAATGGAACTCTTCGCTACTTTGTAATTACTACTTTTTATTGGTCTGCAAGAGATTTCAAACATTGTTTCAGTGGCTTAATTTTTTTAGAACCAGAGGGCTTATCCACCAGGATCTTAAGAAATTTAAGAGTCAAAGAAAAGAATAGGATTGATATTATTTAATTTATTTTCAAATTTCAAATACATCCAACGTTGATCCAATTTTTATATATAAAAATATTTATAAAAGTAAAGTTTTTTTTTCTTGACTGATATAAAAGTAAAGTTACTTCAAATGTGGAGTGAATCATTAATTCAAATAATATTTTGTACTAAGAATAAAGTCTACCATGCTATTAGTAATGAGAGCAAAATGTGTTGTCATTGGTAGAAATTGTAGTTCATTATTACAATATCAAATAACTCAACTCATCAATATGCTCTCACCTTTACAACAAAAGGAAAAAAAAAGTTTCACAGAATTACTCTTTATTTTACTTAATTAAATTTTGTGTCTGATTTTGACATCAGAGTGTCGTTGGGTTTAACACCACATCGATGTATAGATATAATTTTATGTGTATATGATCATTCAAAGTTTTGGACATCGAAATTTGAACCCAAAATCCTTGCGTCAACGACAACCATATCAACATCGTAGTTGAATAAATTAACGTCGTTTTTTTCTCCTAATTAGTTATAATATAATTTGATTATGGTAATTGGGTGATATGTATGATTTTTAGGTAATCTAATATGAGAATAACGTGGTCTTCTACACAAGAATCTTACATCTCATGATCACTCAATGCAAAAATTTTCAATTTTCATGCCAATTAGGTTTTTTCTTTTCTTTTCTTTTTTCCTAAATCCTTCTTAAATGTAAGTTCGTGAATAATGGTGCGCACATTAATTTTGAAAAAAAAAAACTCAATTTGGTGAATGGTGGAACAATCCACGCCCCATTTGACTTTGCGAATTTTAATTCCAATTAGCAATTAATTGAAGTATGCATTTGCTGTTAATAATTACTTGTGAGACTATGTATGGCCTTTCCTCTTTTAATCAAACTTTCATCATAATATTTCCCTTTGGTTGAAAATACGATGAAGACCAACAGCGACAAAATACTCTTGACAATCTTCAACTTTGAGAGTGGGGGCTATTGTTATTGATGATTTTCTACTATTCAGATTCCCTTTATTTAAGGAATTCAAATGGACTTGATGGCCTTATGATTCTGATATCCTATATTCAAGATATATTGAGATTTCCTAGATGTATCAAGATTCGAATTCCACAATCCTTAGCGATCAGGATTCAACTCCTATAAATAGGGAAGTAAGTCAAAACCTAAAGGAGGCTCACAACATTCTACACTTTATGCTCAACTTACTCCGATTCTGACTTAAAGCATCTGAGCCTGTTGGCGAGAGCCACACAGGTCTTTAGTGCTATTCGCGGAATCCCAGGAGGCCAAATTTATGCATCAACATTCATCAAAATGAGTATCAAGAGGTTATGAGTTCGATTCACATCCCCACATGATATATTAGAAAAAAAGTTAAAATATATTCAAATGGATGTCAAGACCTTAAAAACACCCCTAAAATATGTAATACCTTAATTTTGAAATTGAATTATCTCTTCATTTATGTGTATAAAAAAATACTTTTCATTATGCTAATGTATATATTTGCATGTCAGTATTTCCATCTACTTTTTAATTTACCAAGGAAAAAAAAACATCACCAAAATATAACATTCGTTAATAAAAGATCAAGATTTTTCAATTTAATTAATTTTTTACTTTTACAAATCTTCTAAAAGTGCAATTTTTTTTAATACAACAAACATGGTATAAAATTTAAACTTCGAATTTTAAGAAAATAAATAAATATCACTTTTTTTTTTTAAACGAACTAAATATGACATTTATCGTTGGAAATGGAATAGGTTCGCGTCCACCAAGTTAAAACTTTTATAAAATTGAAGGAGGGACCAAAAAGTTTTACTCCAAGTCCCAACGCCTGATAGTGAAGCATTATAATGCTGAGATGGCGGATACCATGTGAAAAACTGTGAAAAAGTTGGGAAACCTTTAATAGGAAAAAAAATAGTTACCATTTTGAATAAATGTATGTTTTTATCTTTTATAAAAACCCAGATATTTCTAATTTATTCAATTATATATTAAATTAATTTGAAAATTTATACTAAATAATAAATTTTTTTTATAAGTACTAATTAAATAATTCTAACTATACATAAATTTTTAGAACAAAAATAGTAACCAAATTGATTATAAAATAAGATATATACTTTTTCAATGATGAAAGTAACTTTGAAATATGTACAAGAGACATTGATCCGCATGTGTTTCAAACTAGAAAAGAACACTTAGAGGGAATGCACAAATTTTTGTAGAGAAAGAACATAGAAGAGAGAGAGTCCGTTATATAGTTGTAGATGATTTTTTAAATTTAAATGTGCTATTTATTAAAAAACAATTAATTGTTAATGGCATGCTTTAGTTATTAAATTAAGAAAAATAGAGGAAGGACAACAAATTAGAAAGAGAAGAATTCAGATAGGTGGGGGAGAGAGAATTAAAGGTTAATAAAAGAGACAAATAATGAGAGGATTTTAAAGAGATAAATATTATATTGTACTTGGATAAAGAGAGGAAGCAAATAATTATAGAGGTGGCCACCTCTATAATTATTTAAAAAAATCAAGATCAATATTGTTTCGAAAATATTTCTTCTATATCCATACTCATATTTAATCCATGAAAAAATTTCGTTCCACATTCCTACTTTATATATTTTAGGTAAGCTAATTGATTATTAGTGATTTAAAAAGCTTTAAATCTTAAATGTTAGCGATTATTTGGATAAAGTTTGACGTGAAATATAATGTCAAATAAAAAAGGGAAAGAAAGATTGATCAGTAAGGTAGAATTGTCTATATTTTATTATTATTATGAGATTTCACAAACGTTAGAAAATAAATATGTAAATTATTTTGGTATACTATTTACATAGCCAATCTTATTCATACCATTTGTATACTTGGTATGACTGTTTATACAATTAGATCAACATCTCTCAGAGTATGTTACATGCTCTTCATGTGACAGATGATCTATTTAAGAACAATTCAAATGAGCAAACTACTTTAAAGCATGCTATTACTCAATCATAGCCAATATCGCTTTAAATCAAATTATATTTTTGAAAATAAAATTTTTCACCCGCTTTACATTCATTGTTTCTCTCAGCATAGCTTAATGAAATGAAATAAAAATCAGAAAAGAGAAGAAGATCTAATTAATTAAAAATCAAATTTATCAATGTGTGGAAGCAACATGATAAATGTAGAGAGAAGATGACCCTATATAAAATAAGATTCGGATAGACTTAAACCGTCAAACAACTCAAACTTTAGTTATTTCAATTACATGGATGTTTCAAAATGGACAAACTTTCCATCTTATGACCAGTTCTCTGAGGCACTAGCTATCTGCTTTATTAAATGTGCTTCATTAATAGGTTCACAATACATGACAATGCATTGATATATATTAATAACAATATCAAATTTTGGACAAATAAATTAAATTTTAACAACAAAGAATGGCAACAATGATAAAACGACTTCTTTGTCAATATCATACCATTTGAGATGTCATATACATTAAGATTAAGATGGGAATTTTTTTTTTCTTCCACTTTTTCATCAAGTCAAACAAAGCATTAAAAATAAATAGTCATATTAAAATCTTAAATTTTTATTTATGGCCACTACATAGTCAATTATATTTGTTGACTTTTAATTTTGATTCTAATAATTAAATTCACACCGTTAATATCCTCAATCATCATCCTACATCAATATTTTAGCAACAATGTCATTAGCTAGTGTAATCAGGTAAAATCGAGGTGTCACGCATAAAGGTTCATCCAAACTACATCGGATGAATCTAGAAAAGAATCGTAAATGGTCGAGTGCATAAGACAAACTCTCAAGCGCATTGGTAAAAGAGTAGAACGCACCTGAACACCCCCGTACAGAGGACAATCAGTAGGTAGGGTATTGACACCCTATATCCAAACTGCGATAAACGCCTTATAGGACCACCAAGGACCCATACCTCTTAACCGCGACAGAAAGGGAAGCAAAAAATGTTAGTGATTTCCATGGATCCTATACGTAACATATCGAAGACGTGTGTGAATTGTACTTATAAGAAAGATTAGGGAGTTTAAAGTTGATATATGTTTGGGGAGGAAAATTGTCGTGCCACATGGAGGACAGTGATACGCCCACGTTGGTGTAACATTTTTGACATGTCCACCTCGAACTTTCCAAGATGGAACACTTAGCTAAATGTTCCTGAATAGTGTTTCTCCAAAGGTTTGATCTGTTCAGGTTCGATCTACTGAACCCGACAAGTTCAACCTACTGTCCGACAAAGAGTAACCGTCGGTCGTGAGGTATGTCAAATCTCATACCTATAAATAGAGGGTCTCATTTGTACACCAGGTATAAATTTTTCTCCTCGAACTTGATATTGAGTCCGAGTTGTTTACTGACTTGAACGTCGAAAATTTTGCCTTATTGTGCAGGTCTTTCCTTGATGTTCCTAGTCAAGTAAGTTTCGAGTTTGACCTTGACCAAGTTTGACCTCGATCATTTTCTTGTATAAACAATATATATATATTATTTAGTACATCAACATGTGCGTGTAGAAATTAGAATCTACAACCTTTTGTCCTAAGATTTTTGTCCAAAGATACATATCTTAATCAATTGAACTTATATTCCGTTTAAAGTGGATGTTAAAACGTGTTATTTGCACTAATGGAAAAGAGAACAAAGAAAGAAAAGAAGGAAAGAAAAAGTGAGTGGAATGTAGTATAGAAAGCAATGAGTCGGTAGGTGGTGTGGGGTTTAATTAATGAGTTTCCATTGCAATGCCGCCTTTTTGCCTCCGCCCTTCGCGCCGATGAAGCCTCACCCAATTCATTCAACAAACCATAAACACCGCACCACACCATTCATAATTCTGTATGCCCCTCACGTGCCACTCCCACCGAATCTTTTACTTTCTTGACTCACTCGACACTACAACCAGCTTACCTTTTTTAGATCGTTGAATAAATATACCCTAATAAATACTCACTCAAATACCATAATTATTCTTCCTCATCTCAACATATGTAATGTAATTAGTGGACTAAGTTTTGGGAGCGTTAGCATTTTTCTCTTTTTAACTTTTTTAAGAGCTGGGCTCATAGTCTTGATCCAACAAATTTCAAAGATTTTTTATATTAAACTTACTGGAAGATTCAAACTTGAAAACTCTAAGCAAGTATGATCAAATATCTCGAGTACTTATTAATTGAGTTCTCCTTCAGGAATCTTTGGGAAGGTTAATTTTTATGAATGCCAACTAAACAAATTACAAAGTTACATGATATTATAAGAGAGAGAAGGGCGGGGGTTGTATTTAGTGTGTGTTTTCCGAGTGTCTTAGCGCCACGCAGCCACGGCGGTTGACACTTGTTTTCCATTTCTCTATAACACACTCTTCTAATCTCTGTCTGCTCTGTTTTCCTCTGCCTCCCACCGCCGCCACCGCCACCGCGCATCTCAATCGCCAGCAATGGCAATTACGGCCAACAACTCAATTTCCGGCTTAATTTTTGCAATGGTTGTTGCTCTTCTGTCAATTTCCCAGTTCAGCCACTGCACCGTCACATACGACAGAAAGGCCATCCTCATCAACGGCCAAAGAAGAATCCTCTTCTCCGGCTCCATTCACTACCCCAGAAGCACTCCTCAAGTCTGTATTCAATTACCTTCCACTTTTTTCTTTGAACTCTTCAACTTATAAATTCAAATAAATATTTGAGCTCTGTTTTTTGTTTTTCAGATGTGGGAAGATCTGATTCAGAAGGCCAAATTTGGAGGCTTGGACGTCGTTGAAACCTACGTTTTCTGGAACGTCCACGAGCCTTATCCCGGCAATGTAACTTCAATTAATGAACTTTTTTTGCGTAATTAATTAGTTTATTAGCAGTGATTTTTATGAACTTACTTTTGTGATTTGGGTTCAGTACAATTTTGAAGGGAGATACGATTTGGTGAGGTTCATTAAGACGATACAGAAAGCAGGGCTGTATGCGCATCTTCGCATTGGGCCTTATGTTTGTGCAGAGTGGAATTTTGGGTCATTTTCTCTCTCTTCTCTCTCTAGATTTTTTTGGGGAAATTTTTGGTTTGATTTGATAATGTGTTGTGGATTTTTTGTTTGGAGCAGAGGATTTCCTGTTTGGTTGAAGTATGTTCCGGGGATTAGCTTCAGAACAGACAACGAAGCTTTTAAGGTTTTAATGTCTTCCAATTCATTCTTTATTTAACTTTAATTATAATAAATATTAATTAAGTTAAGGGGAGTGTTTGGTTATGGGGATACAGAACGCCATGCAAGGATTCACGGAGAAGATAGTGGCGCTAATGAAGAGCGAGAACTTGTTCGAGTCCCAGGGTGGCCCCATCATCCTCGCTCAAGTAAGTACTATTTTTTCTATTCTTTTTATTTTAAATATATATATTTTTTGGAGGTGTATTTGAAACTCTAGTGAAACTTTAAAAAATTAAAAAAAAAAAAGTAGTAGTTTTAACTTTTAAAAGTAATTTGTAAATTTCCTAGACTGGTCAATGAAAATAAAAATGTAGAACTCCAATGAAAAGCATTCAATAGAGGTTTTTTTCTATTTTTTTTTAATAAAACAGATCGATTTAATTTACTTAAATCTGCTAAACAAAATTATTAGTTTAATTTTTCAATTACTTTTTTATTTTATAAATTATTGTTTAAGAAATATTTCCCTTCTTAAGTCAAAAAGATAGATGACTAAGAATATTCACACCTGTGGCCTCGGTGGCCAACACCCCTATTGAATTTTATATCTTTTCCTTCATCTTTTTTCTTATTGTTTCTCAATACGATCCTTTAGACTTTAGTCCAATTTCTAAAACTATTTTGCAATTTTTTTAAAATTTAAAAGTTATATAAGTGTAGGAAAAAAAAAACAAATTGTCGATGATATACGAGCAACTAATTTAGAAGACAACTAAATAAATAAATAAAAATTGTCATAACCACCATACAAATATAATTTCTCTAGCACTTTTGATTTTTTATTTTGAATTTTTTTGTTTAAAAGTGTGGGTAAAAATGTGATTCGATAACTTGTAAAATTTTTCTTTTTTAGTACAATATTAAGGTGAAGATTTGAATTTCTAACCTAAGAAAAGAAAAGAAGTAAATATCTTTCTTGCTTGAAGATTTATAAAGGTTTTATAGAGTGATTTATTTGTGAAAGAAAAATAACTTCATTTATTTTAATGAATAAAAAAATAAAAAAATTTTCAAACCAAGTTACTTTTTCCACTTCAAATTCCTATATGAATCTAATCTTATATGGTATAGAATGCAGTTATATTACATTCTTATTCTTATTTTTGTTATTTTTTTAAGTTCAACTACATGTGAGATAAGAATTTGAACCCCCGATATTTAGGTCGAAAATATATGTCTTAACCAGTTGAGTCATACTTAAGTTGACAACATATTACATTATTACAACTTTGTTTATTTTTTTATTTTATTTTAGAGAAAATAACTTTGGTTCGTTAAATTTTAGTTGCCCTAGGCTTTGGATTGTGTAATAAACACAGCACTTTGGATTGAAATTTTCATTTATTTAGTAAAGTGAGTATGAGAAAAAGAACACTATATGGTGCAGATTGAGAATGAGTATGGTACAGAAAGCAAGTTATTTGGTTCAGCTGGTCATAACTACATGACTTGGGCAGCAAACATGGCTGTTGGTCTGCAAACTGGAGTTCCATGGGTTATGTGCAAGGAAGAAGATGCCCCTGATCCAGTGGTACTCATTCCACTCTTTGCAAAAACAGCAAAATAAAAATACGATAGTTATCGAACACGGTACCGATACTATAGTTCGATAACACTTGGCTTTGTTTTCTGATAGATAAACACCTGCAATGGGTTCTATTGTGATACATTTTCTCCCAACAAACCCAACAAACCTACAATTTGGACAGAAGCTTGGACTGGATGGTATGTGAAAAATCTCTAAAAACCTACTGTTTTAGTTTACTGCTGGACCATATCATCTATTTACAGGGATTTTGAATTGCTGCTTACTGAGTAGTCAAATCACTCTATAACCCAAGAATTTTGATTATTGCAAACATGAAGGTTTTCTGAGTTTGGCGGTCCGTTACATCAACGACCGGTTCAAGACTTGGCATTTGCGGTTGCTAGGTTCATACAGAGGGGAGGATCCTTAGTTAACTATTACATGGTTAGTTGTCTTCAACCAGAATCTGAAAGTTTAGGGTATTTTGGATTTAATCCTTTGTTGTTTTCATATGAAACAGTACCACGGTGGGACGAACTTCGGGCGCACGGCCGGGGGACCTTTCATCACTACCAGCTATGACTATGATGCTCCAATTGATGAGTATGGTGAGAGTTCGACATCATATGCTTATTTCCAATTTACCACATATCATTTCACTAAGCTTTCTGTCAGAAACATAAGACAAATAAACTCAGCATATCAGCTATCAGCTTTAGCAGCATTTTCAGCAGACTTGTAATATTGAGTAAGAAATATTTTTCTCAATTGCTTTACAGGGCTATTAAGGCAGCCAAAATATGGTCATCTGAAGGAGCTTCACAGGGCTATTAAAATGTGTGAGCCAGCTTTGGTTTCAGCTGATCCTATTGTTACTTCATTAGGGAACTATCAACAGGTTTTCAACCCTGCATATCTTCTCATAGTCCATATTTGTTGCATATTTTTGGTCAAAAGTTGAAAATTTACCTTACTCATTTTCTCTGCATCAGGCTCATGTATACTCCTCGGACTCTGGGGGATGTGCAGCATTTTTATCAAACTATGATACAAAATCATTTGCCAGAGTTTTGTTCAACAACATGCACTACAATTTACCTCCATGGTCGATCAGCATCCTTCCCGACTGTAGAAATGCAGTTTTCAATACTGCAAAGGTTCAACCACTTGAGACCATAGTAGTGTATCTTAGTAGGATCTGTAATTGAGGTTGAACTTACGACTTACCGACTGTTTTCGTTTCTCCACATCCCTATAGGTTGGAGTTCAAACATCACAGTTGGAAATGTTGCCCACAGAATCTCCTACACTTTCCTGGGAGAGTTATTTTGAAGATATGTCTGCATTAGACGACAGCTTGACGATGACTTCTCCTGGTTTATTGGAGCAGATCAATGTCACTCGAGACACTAGCGACTACTTGTGGTACATAACTAGGTAACACTTTTTTTCTTCATCCTTCTAAATGTAATGTAAGAAATCTTTGGTAAAATCTCATACCTCATAGTCAAGAAAAACTTGGTAAGGGAACTTCATAGAAGTGTGATTCAATAAACTGACCCGCTAAATTTCTTTACAGCATAGATATTAGTTCATCTGAACCCTTCCTGACTGGAGAAGAATTGCCCACCCTGCTTGTTCAATCCACAGGCCATGCCGTACATATCTTTATTAACGGCCAACTTTCAGGTATTCCCACCTGCCAATTGCCTGCTTAGCATTTATGACCAATAAAACTCATAATCTGCTATATTAGGTTCCGTCTCCGGGACGAGAGAGAGCAGGAGGTTCACATATTATGGGAAGGTTAATTTGCATGCTGGGACAAACAAAATTGCTTTGCTTAGTGTCGCTGTTGGTCTGCCAGTAAGTGTCTAATATACTTCAAGTTTCCCTCTTAAAATTATTAAGGAGCATTCCAATCTCAAGGCCCAGATAGCATAAACCTAAACATCGGATATAAAAGTCTTAACCTTTTCTGCTAATCTTTGTTGATTTTTGTGAAGAATGTGGGAGGACACTTTGAGACGTGGAACACAGGAATCCTTGGTCCAGTTGTTCTCTACGGGCTTCGCCATGGAAAATGGGACCTATCAACACAAAAGTGGACTTACCAGGTACCTAAACTTCACTTCCCAGGTTTACATTGGTTCAAAGGAAATATTTCTTAATTCATCGATGCTTCGTTACAGGTTGGGCTCAAAGGAGAAGCCATGGATCTCATATCTCCTAATGAATTTTCTCCTGTTGAATGGATACAAGCATCATTGGCTGCCCAAAAACCTCAGCCATTGACTTGGCACAAGGTAACAATATAAGGAAATATAGGATTCGCGCTTATAAGGGAAAGCAAACTTGGTTCAAACTATTGATACCTCTCGAACTTTGGCAGGCTCATTTTGATGCCCCTGAAGGAGAGGAGCCAGTGGCCTTGGACATGGAGGGTATGGGAAAAGGTCAAATATGGATCAACGGGCAAAGTGTTGGAAGATACTGGATGGCTTATGCTCGTGGTAATTGCAGTCGCTGCAACTATGCTACAACATTTAGGCCTCCTAAGTGTCAGCTAGGATGTGGCCAACCTACCCAAAGATGGTAATCCTCAATAATAACTTATAAATTTATAAGTAAAATGGAAAAGTATGATTCAAACCACCCTGATTTAAGCTAAACAAGTGCTTCCATTGAACGACCAAATTTTGGTTTTAGGTACCATGTACCTCGGTCTTGGCTAAAGCCAGAACAGAATCTGTTGGTGGTTTTTGAGGAAGTTGGAGGCAATCCCTCAAGGATCTCTATTGTGAAGAGATCTGTGACAAGTGTCTGTGGTGATGTTTCTGAATTCCATCCGACTTTCAAGAACTGGCACACTGGAAGCTATGGAAGATCAGCAAGATTTCATACACCTAAAGTACACCTTAGCTGTGATCCAGGCCAGTTCATTTCCTCCATCAAATTTGCAAGCTTTGGAACCCCATTGGGAACTTGTGGGAGTTACCAGCAAGGAACTTGCCATGCCACAGTCTCACATGCCATTGTAGAGAAGGTTCTAACAAACTCCTTTCGATATTATAGACTATTTCGTATAGCTTCTAGAAAAGTTCGAACTATTCAAAAGCTATCTAAACAGCTCAAAATGGCACATTGAATTAATCAAAGAAGATCTAGATCACTGGATAAATACAGTTACTTATACTTTGCTCTTTTTCTGCAGAAATGCATAGGAAAGCAGAGATGCGTTGTTACCGTATCCAACAGCAACTTTGGGCAGGACCCATGTCCAAATATGATGAAGAGATTATCAGTTGAAGCCGTATGTACTCCCACAACTTCTACAACAACCCAACTGGAGGGGTTAACTTGATAAAAATAAAAAGGGGATATTTAGCTATTTAATCAATCATGGATTAAATGATATGACCATACACACAGCACTAGCAAGAGTAAGCAAGCAAAGGAAGAGTAAAAGAAAGGAATGAAGCAAGAGTAGCAGTCTTCTGTCTTCATCCTGGTTACCTGTACAGCAAAAGGAAATTAGTTTCAAATGGTTTAGCAGCTTTTATACAATAGTGTTTGTTAGGAAAAGGAGTATTTGTTTTTGTGTGGGTGATTGTTCATTCTAGGGCCCTGGCCCCAAGTTTAATCTCAAGCTACCTTCCATTCCATTTTAGGAGGAAGCACAAAGCTTAAAAGTGAGGTGACATATACCTTTATCTATTTGTCTTCATTCTGGGAGCGGATCCTGGTGTGATGTGACTGATTTTATAGCATAACAAGAAAATAGTTGCTTCTCTTAGGGAGCAAATGTAGAGCAAAACAATATATATCACTACTTAATTTAGAAATGCAAATTTCATTGGATAGACTTGTTTTTTTGGTGAAATACTTGATTTAAAATTGTACATTGAATGGATGATTTGTCCACCACCTGAGCTGTATCTCTATCTCTCCTTGTAGGTGTAATATTCTTAGAAAAAAAAAAAACCCTGAAAAGGAAAAGATGGACGGTTTCAAATATCCGTCAGCATTATTTATATAACTTTGACCACATGTTGATCACAAATTGTTTAGATATTTTACTTTATATAACTATCACGTATCTGATCAACAATTCATGAATTCTATTAATTAATGACTTAAAGAGATTGCTAGGAGGGTGACAGCACAATAACAATAACTAAGATTTGGACAGAAACAATGAGGAAAAGCAATTTACCTTCATTCAACTCATAATATCTCCAACGTATACAAGAAATTAGAAACATTACAACTGAACCAAATTTTTGAAGACATAAGTACCAAGAATGAACCAACCAACAAGGAAGAAAGTGAAGAATGCCAAGAAGGTTAGGAACGTAGTACCCCCCAGTGCGAGTCCTATGCTGAAAACCACAACAAATGGTAAGAACGTCCGGATTACAGCTCCTGTACTGACCCACCGACCCTTGAGAAAGATCAGAGTGGCAAGGTTCACCACATTCCATCCACCTGAGCGAAACCCAAGTCTGTTCAGATTATTAGCCACAAACGAATGACAATTGCAAGTTAAGAGATTGTAGGATCGGTGTTGGAACTCTTGAGTGCTCCTCCGCAATGCATCATCCCATGTTGATATTTCTCTACCATGATCAAATTCCCTCATCTCATCTTCACTTCTATGAGTGGAAATGCAACACTGCATACAAATTACAATCAAATCAGTTAAGGAATGACCCAGGAAACAAAATAAGAGAAACTTCCAAACGGGAATGAGATCCCTACCAATAAAATGTCTAGAATTTTAAGATTGTAAAAGATTTCATCGAGGATGGATGCTACTTATCTAGGATTTAATATCTTACTGTTGGGAAAATAATATAGATAAATCAATCGATCCTCCGGTAAGTTCTTCAAACAGGAACTATTTAACTTTCCCTTTTCACAAGCTAAAAGAAAGAATAAGAGATAGAGATAGAAAAGCTTAACACCACAGGGATTATACTGGTTCGCCCCTATCTTGGGACTATATCCAATCTTCTGCGAAAAAGTAGGTTCAACTATAGTTGAGAATATTACAATGGAGATCTCACTCAAGATATTACTATCTTGTTTTTAAGTACCCTAACAATGTCTACCTAGGATTACACAATTGAAAATATCCTCACTAAACTTACGAGATACAAACTCATTTTTTCACACACTGCCCACAAATGAAACCTTAACAAAAGAGTTATATTTATAAGAGTTCAAATATCTCAATCCTTATAGAAAAATGATATTGTAATCCTTATAAGACAATTACTCCTTATAAGAATTGGTAGTAGTGTTTGAAAATCCTTTTCCTCGTAGGACACGGGTCATCTGTTTCGGCTCAATTATCCCAACACTTACGAGTTTCTTTAACAACTGAATATAGTAAGGTTTGACAATTATCCCATGAAATTAGTCGAGGCATTCACAAATATGAAAAAAAAAAAATTGATCTTTGGGTAAAATATGGAAACTGGCATGTACCTTCTCTCCGTTGATTTGAAGATACCGTGCGACTGCTCCAAATGTGAAATTGTCCACACACACAAAATTGGGGCCTGCGAAGTCCAAGATTACTCCATCCTCTCTGCCAATGCCGATGTGACCAATGAAAGGAACAAGCCACGAAATAACAGGAAGAGGTGTCCACACAATGCAACATGGAAACCGAGCTCTCTCGGGATCAATTTTCATATTCTGAGCGATATTACCTTCAACCATCAGCTGATTCTCAGGGTCGTTATTTGATTCCATTTCCAAAGTCGTAAAATGCTGCCTGTAATGAAATGAATACCCCCTCAATTTAACATAGCTCCAACGAGAAATTAACCTAAACTCAAGAATCCTATCCATTCTCTGATAACGTTAATCAATCAGCAATTCGAACCAATGAAGCTCTCAGATATTCTCAACTTCGCGTAATCAAGCACACCACCCAAGTGCAGGGGATAAACAATCAAACTAATAAAACGAGCAAACTATACGAAGAAATTGAAGTACCAAACGAGCAAACTACATGAAGAAATTTAAGGGGAGGATAAATGGAAGTTACCTATCGGAACAATTTCGGGGACGAAGGATCGTCTCAACAAGCTACTGATCACCGATCAAATTGATCGGTTTGCACTGGCGGAGATTGCCCGCCGCACCACGCAGATCAAGACGAGATCGGGTCAACCTGGCGCTTTAAAAACTGATCCGAATATATTATGTCCAAACGACGTCGTTTCGCGTGCGTTGCACTTTTTTCCAAGAAGTGAGAAGCTTTCTCGAGTTCAGAATTCAGAACATTCTGAACGGCTTTTAGGTCCGATTTAAACTCCGGCGAATTCCGATGCCGCCGAAGATGGGAAGTAAATCTCCGGCCCTAGTGGATTTAACCGGCAGCGACGATGAGGAGGCGGCGGCAAACACAACGCCAAACAAAATATCCTCGAATTCTCAGACGGCGATTTTATCATCACCGGACGATAAAGCCCTTGATTGCCGCAGTTTCTGGAAAGCCGGAAATCAGGATTTCGGCCCTACCACGAGGCCTCAACCTGTTCATGGTTAACTTCTCTTCTTCTTCTTCGCTTCTTCTATTGTAGCGTGCTATTAAGGTTTTTATTTGTTTGATTTGGACTTGATTATGAAAACAAAGCAGGAGAGTTGGAGCATGCCCGAGTTCATCCGAAGTTTCTTCATTCTAATGCCACTTCTCACAAATGGGCCTTTGGCGGTAAGCTTCTGCTTGCTCAACAATGTTGAATGGAGGAACTTGTGAAAATTTTCTGATTAAGAAAACGGAACTTCTCGCTTGTCCTTTCTCGTTTGCCCTTTGTAATCTACTTGTTTTTTATTTGATACAGCAATTGCTGAGCTTCTGGATAATGCCGTAGACGAGGTAATTCTAGCTTATGCAACTTGGAATACTTCTTGGACGTATTCACAGTTAACTTATTAGCTACGGTATACACGACCGACGGTTTTTGTTGCTGAATAAATGTGGACACTTTCTATGAGTGTGTTGCTACCTTGTGTAATTCCTTCCTGTACTTGAATTTTGTGCTTCAAGCAGGGTGAATAGTAGAATATTAGTTGATCATGTAAAACGGGAGGCATAGGGTTCTTAAGTTTTATCTCGGGACCAATAGGATGAAGTAGTGATTTGTACTCAACTTTTTCTCTCTTCAATATTAAATCTGGCTAATGGTGCTGCCAAATTGTAATTTATTCTGTGTCCTGTGAGGTAAAATAAAATACTTACGATCTTACTTGAACAAGATCTATTCTATAGGTTGTACAACTGTGTCCTTAAGTTCTAAAAAGTATAAAATACTTGACTATAGTGCGGCCTCCTGTAAACATAACCCAGTGAATTATATCATTTTCTTTCCAACCTCCAACCTCCTTATAGCAGCCATTCATCAATTTCAGATGCATAACGGCGCAACATTTGTGAAGGTTGACAAAGTTGATATAATGAAGGACAACTCTCCAGCCTTACTTTTCCATGGTATTCCAATTATCTTTATTGTTTATTTTTGGATATAAATACAAGAACAAGTCATATTTTATGCAGATGATGGTGGGGGAATGGATCCTGCTGGCATTCGGAGATGTATGAGTTTGGGTTATTCTTCAAAGAAGGCAAACACAACAATAGGACAATGTAATTTTTTTTCTTCTTACTCTTCTAGTTTGTTGTTTTTTACTTAATAATAAATTCATTACGGAGGAGTCCAAGTTTATTAGTCTTGACTCAAATGTCACATCTTTTAGTTTTTTAATTTTTAGACTTTTTTAATTAGATTAGTTTTTTTCTTGCTTGTAAATTTGAATGCATAAAATGATTCAACTGTCTCTTCACGAATTTAGTGGTACCAAACACATATTTTTCCATTATATTCAATGTTTTCTAGAATGTAGAACCACTTTGAAATCTCAAACCAACAGACCCTTAAAAGCTTGAGGTTCTACTTCACAAAAATTCTAAACCTCCAATTGCCAATATGTGATATTCTTCTAAAAGAACTCATGATATGTGATTATTTTATTTATGGACATCTTTATCTTATGATTATAATCTGCAAATTAAGAAAAGATGTTCTAATTCCATGATTAATCTTATTAACATACTTCAGAATCTAGGTTAGTGCTTTGATTTGTTGTTTATCCTGACATCCAACTTGTGTATTCTAGATGGGAACGGATTTAAGACAAGCACCATGCGACTAGGAGCTGATGCAATTGTTTTCACTCGTGCGATTCGTTCAGGGTACCTCTTGTTCTAGAAGATCTAGTAGAATACTAATTATGCATTGCCTTTGCACTATGCCCCCTTTTGAGTTAAATGTTAACTGGTCATTACAATTCTAAATTCTTGATTCAGTTGCATCATTTATTCTGCTTAGAGTTCCTGCCTGTACAATTTGAATTAGTATTTCCTAGTGATGCTATACTGTGAGTGAGCAATAAAAAAGATTTTTCGGGTCCTTTTCCAACCCAAGAAAAATGGGAGAGACCTTGCCGAGGTGATAATTGGATGTATTAAAACATCGCTTTTCCAGAACTATCATGACTGTTTTTCTTATAATAAAATAATGAAAAATTATTAGCCTTATTCTAGAGTTTAAATCAATACCATGATTGTTTCAAACTTTCAAGTTTGTTCAGTAGGAGGTGACCTACTGCCCACATCCTACAAAATATTTAGCGTGATTAAGACATAGAAAGCATGTATCGTATTGCTTTCTCCTTAATTGATTTATATCAGGCAAAATTATGCATAAATACCACTGCCTGCCTTAATGATTAAGTTAAGAATTTAGTCTAATCTATCTTCTCAACTTGCACTCTCTCCTTAATTCGCTGGTACGAACATGTTCAGACTTGATTTAACAATGTTGTGCTAGAGCTTTGATGTCAGGACTGTGTGAAGCCATTGGTGGCAAGTTATTACATTTTTGGCTGCATAAAAGCTTACGTTTAAACTCAAATTTCCATGACCAATATTAGTTTCCTCTTCCCCCCAGCCTTTTCCGCCCCCTCTTTTTGTTATATTTACAGGTTTCTTATCCAAAAGATAAGTTTAATGAGATCTGAAGGATTTTGATTTTGATTTTGATTTTATTTATATGCTGACTTTTAATTCTCATGTTTTCCCTTGTGTTCTTATATAATTTAGCCTTGCAACCCAAAGCGTTGGCCTTTTATCCTACACCTTTCTACGGATGACTGGCCAGGATGATGTTATTGTTCCAATGGTAATATTCTTTTTGTCTTTAATATTTTAGTTGCCCCCTCTGCCCTCTGCATTGGCAATCAGCCCCCTCATACAGCCAAGACTTCTTACTTTCTGGTTTGGTTGTTTTGCAGATTGATTTTGATGTTTCACAGCATTGGGCAGAACCAATAATTTATACCTCCAAAGAGGACTGGTCTTCCAATTTGGAAACTATCCTTGAATGGTCTCCTTTTGAATCAAAGGAGGACCTCCTGATGCAGGTTCGAGTGAATTCATTCAATTTATTGAACTTCCACTACTAAGTAATGTAATTATAAGGGGAAAAAGTCCCAAGAAACATATTTACACCTTTTAATACTAGTCTTTTATCATGTGTAGTGCATAAGTGCTTTTCAAAACTTCGAACACAATATTATAAAGGGTCAAAATGATTATCTAAAATAAAGAGATAGAGAATGTGTCAAAGGGGTTAAAATGATTCTTTGACGTTTTCTCTTTTATTTTAATCAAGATTTATATCATATATGTGCATGAATTTGGAATTCTTGTTAAAATGGTGATGAAGGCATGCTGTCGAATGGACTTCTTGAAGTGAGTGGAAAGCAATTACATAAAATCTGGAATTACCTTTGCCCTGAGAAATTCTTGTTGAAGTGCTGCTGAAGGCATGCTATGGCTCCTGCGTTGCCATATATCATTAGTGATACACTTAAAAGTTTGTTTTTCCCGTGGTTCTATTCTATTTCAGTTTACCTGTTATTTTGTTTCTGATGAAAAAGTTGATATTAAATTAAATAAGATAAAATAGCACTCCTTTATGTTGTCATGGATCTCAGATGCAGCTTAGAATGAGGGTACTTTTCTTTTTTGTGGTGTTGTCAGCAGTTTGAGGATATTGGACGTCATGGAACAAAAGTTATTTTATTCAATCTCTGGTTGAATGATGAAGGCATTTATGAATTGAATTTTGACGACGATGATGAGGTATTTCACCTTTTTATTATTAGCTTCATTTCATGGGTTGTCGTGTTTGTGTTTTTTTTTTACTTTATTTTTTATTTATTTCTTCTCCGATTGGTGCCAATTCAAGACCTTTGCTTCCCTATTTGGTAGCTTGATTTGCGATGAGTAATTACAAAATTAATACATTTTAGTTTGATCAAACAAATTTTTTCAACTCATTGCATCTAAACTAATGAATGTTTGTCCAGAGTTTATATTTTTGCTGTGTCCTTCAGTTATGTCATTAATTATAAAACTTTAATTTTCTTAATTGTGATTATTTAATCTCTTGGCCTTACTTTTAATATCTTAGAACTTTATAACCATATTTGATGAGATTTATTAGATTATTTTTCTGAATGGTAATTATATATTATTTCTGAACAAATGCGAAACTTTCTCAATTGGCAAGTTGGCTTGAGATTTTAGAATACCATGTTCGATTTATTGGTTATGGCATAGTTGTTTTACACTTAGATTGAGTTGCATGAAAAGTGTTTGTAAGCATCTTTTGATCTTTGATATAGGATATACGGTTGAGAGATGAAGCTAATCAAGGAGGTTTGAAAAAACTGCGCAAAAATGTGGCTGAATTGCGATCACATATTTCTTATCGCATCCGCTATTCATTAAGGGTAACTTTCCATTTTAATTCTCCAACTTTGCTTGTGTATTATAAATCATCTCTTCTCCCTAAAAACTTCCAAATTTTCTCATTGTTTTATAGGCATATGTTTCAATATTATATCTGAGAAGGTTTACGAACTTTAACATCATTCTGAGGGGAAAACCAGTTGAGCAGTATAATATTGCAGATGAATTGAACTACTCAAAAGTAGTTACATATAAGCCTCAACTACACACAATAAAGGAGGTTAGTTTTGATTTATTGTGCCGTGAAAAATTGGTTATATTTCTCTATTAAATCTGTCTTAAAGTGTCAAAAAAATAAGTTGCCACTAATGCTAATTTATCACTACAATCATTGGACAGTAATCTTCTCCTAGAGTAAAAGTGGAGGCTGTGCTGCTCGTACGATTTGATTATCATTGTGTTTAGGGTTTTGAAGACCTGGGTGTACCTCTGATGTTTTCCCTCAAAAAAACCTAGGGTAGAGAGTAAAATGTAGGAATTGGGTGAATATCCTTCACCATTACAACTTTTTCCTTCTCTCTATCCTTATTTTTTTCTTTTTATAATAATTCTCTAATATTATAAGAAATTCCACCATGAATCCATTTGGTCCAGGAGATTTATTTCTCCCTAATAATTTGACAGCCCCCCGAATTTTAGTTGTTCACTTATTTCCACAGTAATTAGCCTCCATTCAACCCCTAGAAGGATTAATCTTTGTTCTTCTTTTTCTGTATAACTTGCTAATGATTTGATCATCTGATTTATCTCTTTCGCTACATCGCTTCACTTTAGTGATGCAATTTTCCTTATTTTTTGATAATAATTCTGAACAAAGTACTTTATTTTCTTTGCTGCCAAGAGCCTATTGGGTATTTACATTACCTTATTGAGTTCTTTCAGTCATGCACTCTATATTTTTTAATCAAAATTTTTTCCTCCGAACTAAAGTCTGAGAAGTTCTCTTTCCAGTCTTCTATCTATTGTGTCCTCTCTAGCTGCCTTGCTCTTTTCTGTCAATGGCTACCATAGAATATGTCAAACCCACTTATGTTTTTCTTACACACAAAAGTCAGATTGGTTGTAGTTCTCTAATGTTTTGAATCACGAGGTTTGTAGAATTAAATAATCCACTGGCTGAAAGTATAAAGTCTGCTTTGGTAGTTTGGTTATTCATTGTTTATTTATTTATTTTGTGTGGTTTAAGGTCTTGGTGGATACAACCATTGGATTCGTAAAAGAGGGACCAGCTCTTGGAGTTTGTGGGTTCAACGTGTATCACAAAAATCGACTTATTGTGGTAAGTGTGAAAAGAGGTTACAATTTTTATGCGGAACTTTTAGGTATTCCAAGACTTCTATTGGTGTTTTACTCATTATGGAGAAAACCCAATTTATCATATTGAACGTGCCAATCTTCTGCAGGGGTTTTATAGTATTTCGACGTGCTTTGTGTGATAATGTACAAACAATCATTTTACTGACAAGTAAATCTACGCCTTGTACAGCCCTTCTGGAAAGTTACTAGCGATGGTTCTTCAAGAGGGAATGGTGTTGTGGGTATTGCAAATTTGTGCTTTCTGCTTATTCTTCCCTGATTGTTCATCAGATTTTTCTCTGAAGTCTTATTCTTTTTTGATGCTGCATATATATTTTAGGAGTTCTTGAAGCAAACTTCTTAGAGCCAGTACATGACAAACAGGGTTTTGAGAGATCATCTGCATTTATCCGGCTTGAAACAAAGCTGAAGCAAATGGTTATGGAGTATTGGTATGTTAATTTTCTTACAACTCTCCAGTTCTTCCTTTCAAATGCATATGGATAATTAGTGGGATTATCTACCAAATTGTTTATACTTTTTTACTTCTGTACCATTGATTAAAGTGATGATGATATTTTCTTTTCTAATTAACCAACTGTATTTGTTGTTGACCATTCCTCTTAATTGAAGTGGCATATAATGTACATTGGCTTGCTTCATCTCATATTTTCATTCTAACTAGTATCTGGGCAAAGATTATTTTGACTGGTAGACTTTGCATTATATGTGGCAGGAGATCCTGCTGTCACTTAGTGGGAATTCAACCTCCAGGTTTATATTATCCGCAGAAGAATCTGGCTAATCAAGCTTCTACTGGACCTGCACCTGATATTCAGAAAAATTTGGCCAAGGAACAATATGATAGTCATCCCAAAGTTGGTATCCTAGAATAAATGCATATACACTAATTCATTCTTTATGGTACATGAAAATCACCGTTCTTACTATGTTTTAAGTAGTTTGTGGGTCTCTGATGATAATACTCAAAAGAATTGTACGTGTAGGCCGTTACACGTTTCAGTTAACTATCCTAATGTTTGAAATCTTCGACAACTAGTCTTGCAGCTCCTGTTTTAGTGATCAAATGTTGATATGGCAGAAGTAACGCATATGTCTTGCTTTTCTATACTATTCCAGGGTTCCAACAAAGAAGTGAACACTACCGAAGATTTTGATGTCTCAGAAACAGCATCTGCTAATCGTATATGTGAGGAGAATATTAAACTATTTATGAGGTATTTTATATCCCAAACCTTTCTTGCAAGTTGTTGCATTATTTAAATATTACGCGGCTCCAAATTCTTATCCAAAATCTTAGGGAGTACATTTATTTACATTATACAACACCATAGCTGGACCAAAATTGTCAATTGAATCTTCTTTGAGGCCTGTGTTGGATTTAATTGTTGGAGCTCCAAAATTAATTGGTCTGAGTCTTAGATAACGTGTCGATTGATGTTTGGTTTCATTGATTTTCACGATGGAATGGTCTTCCTTTTATATCTCATGCACAAACAATGTTACAATCCTAGATTTACGGACAGGCTATTGAACAAAAAAGGAAACAAGAATTAATGGAAACAAAAATTCTAAGGAAATGGAGGTAATGAAGGGATAAATAAAGGATATGTCGATTCAGACCGAACGGCTACTGTTCTCTTGTTTTGTTCCCTAAAAGTAATAGAGTAAGACATCGATTTCTCAATAAGATCAACTTTTTTGATTACATGATGTACTTCTCTGAAAAACATTGGCGCGCGTGTAAACGAGGTGCTCTACCAACTGAGCTATAGCCCTTGTGCTTGTGATACATATCTTATCATGTAGATAATTTCTTGTCAAGATGAATATTCTACTTCAAGGAAATTGTTCACTTGTTTCTTCTACGAAAATTTTGTCCGCCTTTTCCATCCCGGTTTAAGGTCTCCTCAATAACTGCTTATAGGATCATTCCTTATATCTATTTTGCTATCAGATTAAACTCTCTGAGACTCTCTGTTCCACAGGTGTGAAGAACATGCGAAGAAAGAAATTGAATTGCAAGAACTGGTGGGTAAATATATATAGTTCTACACTTTATATTATCAATAATGCCCTTTGTTTCATAACTTGAAGTGACGTTCAACTTTTTCAGGCCATGTTTATTTTGTTAACTTTATCAATATTGTGAGTTTTAATATTAGTGAATCTTCTATCTGCTTTGTTATAAATTAGGTTGACAGCTTAGAGAAGGAACTAAAGGAAGCCAAGAGGAAGCATGCTCAGATATTATCAGTTGTGGAGAACAAGAGGAAGCAGAAGAGTACGAAATAGCTAACTGAAATATTTGACGGGGCTCGGTCGAATTACCGCAACACGCCACTGTTAGTACATATAACCTCTCACTTTGCCTCCTTCCACATTCCAGTTTTTGGCTAATGAAGGCTCCACGTTATGAACCGGTTCTTCATGGAGAGTATTCACGGCATCTTTCCTATATTCTCCGTTCGCGATATGTAAAGATGAAAGAAGTCGAGATGTATCTTTTGAGGTAAATGATCATCATTTAGAATTTTAGATGCATGAAGGTCCCAGCAATCTTGAAGGCTTATGAACCAGATGATTGCTTTGGCTACTTAGATTGCAATTGGTTTTGAGTCTGTGGGGGAGAGAAAATTGGCCTCTTTTGCTTTTGGTTTAACTTAAAGATCCATAATATCAACTAACTTGGAACTAATTTGGATTAGGCAGGGATTAATGTGAAATGAGAAACTAGTTTGGAAGGCTTAAATTGTTGGTTATTATATATATGGTGAAAAATAGTGAAAATCCTCATCCCATTTGATGGTGAAGATTTTCTAAGAAAATTCAATTGGTAAATGTGAGCTTGTCAAATCAGAATAACATTATATATTTAAAATTTTCTTATTGTTTTAATTATCAAAATGAGGTTGATTAATTCAATTTGCACTAAGATATTTTCCTAAACAGTAAATGATTTTATCATCAAATAACACTATAAGATAACAAAATATATTTCAAGCTTCTTTTCTATGCATCACCAACTTTTTTTAAATTAAGAAAAAAGAAATAATTCTTTCATTCTCTCGTTTAATGATGATTTAATTTTTGGGAAAGTCCACTTGGTTAGTATTTTTTTTTTCTTAAAGAAATTCCTTTTTTTTTTTTAATGTGTGAGTATCTTCTTTAAGAATAAATCTTTTACTTTTGTAACCAAAATTGTTTTTAAGAGTTGATTAATTAGATGCTTCCTATAAAATAAATATAGATATCGTATGCTTGGAAACTATAATGAAAACAAACAAAAAACCAGGAGTGATGTTCATAATTCATACTATCATCTCTTTATCATGAACAAGGAATCATACACAAATGATGATCAACAATAAAATAAACATCGTCAATCTCGATTTTTCTTTTTTCTTTTTAATTTTTTAAATTCTTGATTCAGATAATTTGGAACTCATTAAAATTTGAGGGATTAAAACAAAAACTTCTCTCCAAATACCACGTTTGAAGATAAACTTTAGACATTAGGACCAAAACTATACTTTTAACCTAAAAACTACATATAATGTTAAACCTTTTTGTTGCTTCCCCCAAGAAGGTAGCAATTTGACATAAACCGTAGAGTAGAGTGTGTAAGAATAATGTACAATTATTTGTTAAAATGGGGTCAGATTCAGACCAAGAAAAACAGTGAAAATTGTTTGAAATGGTACTTGTGTTTGTATTAGTTTGATGGATTTGGCAGGCGGCAACAGTGGGAGAGCTGATGAGAATTGGCCCCCAAAACAATTGGGATTCTGTCAAATAATGTTTTACGTTTACAAATTCCAAACGTCATCTCATTAATTTTCCCTCAACATATTTTATTTTCTCTGCAACCAAACAGAACAGTGCCTAATTTTCCCACTTACACTCAAAAGTGAATCTCAAACCAAATTATAGGCTTTTCTTTTGGAGCTTTGGCCTCAATTATTATATCAACTAGCAGTGCTGTCAACTCAAAGAGAGGCTTGTGAAAGTTTTGAACTTTTGTTATAAATTATTGGTTTAAAGTTTTTAAACTTCAAACAAGCATGCTCTCTTTTTTT